CTGAACGTCCATATTGATTAAATATAGCTAGCATATTTATTTTAGCAAATTTATCGCTGATTGTGTCCCGTGTCTTCCATTTTATGGTAGGTTTAGAGAATATATTTTTCTTTCGCCCAGTGAAATAACTAAGCCTTAGATCCATATGAATGATGTTAAAGACAGGATTTGTCAGTCTAATATTCAGCCTCTGGATGTTCTTAATATGAAAAGCCATTTATTATCTGTTGGTTTTCTAATGCATCATGAGGACATAATTGATCAAGTTGTTTTAAATGTGGGCGTAGAGAAAAAACATATTCATTGTCTTTAGATACTTAAGCACAAATCATTTGTAAATATTTTTAAACAGATCCATGTATATGCTTATTTTTCACAGAATGTTGTCACGTTAAGTGACTGAATCGGTTTGCAAAACAACATGAACAAATTAGAATACCAATATTATTCAGAAATGTTTATGATTGTAATGATCATGGTGAATGGAATTATCTGTATGCAAAGATATACACAAATACACTGCCCGATACAATGAAGTTCACATATTATTTGACTAAACTGAATATATAAAAATACACATTATGATCAGTATGTTAATACATTACCATAAAATACATATATAACCATAAAAAACTATATATAATAACTTTTTAGACAGATGCACACTCCATTATTTGTGAACTGTTGAATTAAGGGGGATTCTTACCAATGAAATCTGTCCTGGGTACTGCAAGTTTTATGGTATGCAGCTATTATTATAGTATACATTTGCTATATATAGATCATTTAGAGTTTGGATATTAGAATACATCTGCTATAAGTCCATAATCATATAATTTGATATCAGCAATTATTTCAGCCAGATAGCAAATAACTAGTTGGGTTAAATGTTGCTTTGCCCTACTTCATTATACTTTACAGCAGTGCATACATACATGGCTCAACTCACAATCAGTAATTGTGCTTTCAATTTTGGAGCATTTGCTTTGAATTTGTTGACCAGTTCACTATTGTCATTTTAATTCCAACAGGTTCCAAAACTAAATGCTGTTCTAGAAGATTGTAGATTACACTTGCAAAGGCACTATCACAGTTTAACCTCCACAACACTGCTTAAATTTGATGGTTATACATTCTTGACCACTAATTATTGTTAAAACAATTAAGAACTTCAGCTGAATGTTAATACAACTACAACACAGTTCACCAATAAATGACACTGATATAAAACAAAAACAAGCTGACCTTTTTAAGGCTATATCTTGTGAGTACAGATGGTAACACAGTCAATCGTGGTTACGATCACTGGATAAAATGGTTATAACGCCACCGCCAACCTTTTCTTAAGAAATGTACCAAATCCCTGGTCTCTGTATATTGATGCTTCTACCTACTGTAGTACTGTAATGACTCATACTGAGAAGATAATTCTTCCTGCTTTCTGTTCCTGGCACATGACTGACCAGAATGCCCCAAATTTATGAGGACAAATGTTGGCGTTATAATCAGGGTAGACTACATTAAGACCTTACTGTTGAATACAACAATACATGTACTCTGAATCGTGAATATTTTGCCGCATTCTTCTTTTGTCTGATAAAACGCATTAGCCATTTAATGTGTCATTCCTCTTTCTATTCTTTTATATTTCAAGTATATATAGATATTTCTATGTCAGTACGACACCTTCTTCAAATAGTTAAATCACAACTACAGGCGAATTTTATGGCTATGTCGCTTTGGCCACGAGTTTTCCTATTTCTTTTTTATATCAATAGGTTCTCCAGTGCGAAACGATATTCAATCTCGCAGCAACAATGTCCCATTTGTATCCCACCGAGCTCAGATCGCTGATTAAAAGCAAGAGCATTTAGTTATCAAATGCATTTATTTCAATTAAATCTTCTGAGGGTTTTGCTTTTTGACTTGAGCGTTTATTGCACATCATATTGACGAATATAGGTCTAAACATGTTTATGTTTTTGAAGTATGTAACAGCTAAGGGTAGTTTAGGTCTAAACTAAGCATTTGTATACCATTGTTATCCATGGTTTATTATGCCCAGTACCTTATGTAGAATACCTCTGAAAAATGAAGAAGGGAAAACAAGACATCGTAAGTTATAGCTTCCCGTGCAGTCGTCTCTGGAGTATCTAATATTATGTAGACAACATATTTAATCATTACACCCTTTTTAAGTGATAAGCTTAGGGCGATATATAGGATCCTTTTCTCTTGTCTTGAGGTACAATCAAGCACGCTCTTTTTACCAAGATTTCATAGAGCGTTATACCAGTCTTACTCAGAAATTGTTCGATCAAGGTTACAACATTCAAGGCCTCAGTAAAGCCTTCAAAACGTTTAATGGTAGACATGTGGGGGAAATTTCGAAATTTGATGCATCAGTGACAAAAATGATGTCCGATGCAATTGCCTATTTTGACTTGTATCATACCTTCCCGAATTATTTCAGGTAAACAACAGACTAGACTTAGCATATGTTTATGACAAGTGCCACCAGTGGGGCAGGATACGCGCAGCTTTTCGTGAACACCTGGTATCATCACTATTTCATTGTGATCCATAAACACATGATCTGTCATCGTATCGGATGTTGACAATCACTGGATTGTCAGGTCCAGACTCGATTTGTTTACAAAGACCACCCAGCTATAATACTGCTGAAACAAATATAGGCTATACACATGATATAGTCAAACATATACAATCGACTCTGCTTTTAGCAGGGATTTCTTATAGATGTGGAAATGGTTTTGTCGCTTCTATTGTCTTGAAAGTGCGTGTATCTGTATTCTTGTCTCCAGTTGCTTTGATCCACGACCCGTGAAGATCCGGGTTAGAATTGGTCTTCAGCAACCCATGCTTGTCGTAAATGGCGACTAACGGGATCGGGTGGTCAGGCTCGCTGACTTGGTTGACACATGTCATCGTATTTCAATTGCGTAGATCGATACTCATGCTATTGATCACTGGATTGTCTGGTCCAGACTCGATTATTTAAAGACCGCCGCCATGAAACATTGCAGAGTGCGGCGTTAAACAACAAAGCAACCAACCAACTTTAATCCACGCAAAATGTGTTTTGATTGAGACTACGATTCGCTGTTGCAATCATAGATATTCATTGTTATTTTTTCCTGAATACATTTCCTATCCATGTTCATACATATGCGCATTGTTGAAAGATAATTAGCTTTGTTTACAGGGTACCTGTTATGATTGCATCGAAACAATTTTCCGGATTTTGACGAAGCCACGTGTGATGCTTATGTAATTTACCGTTTTGGCAGCATCTACGTTTGAAAGACATTGTGTTCCTGATTTACAATGTTCTTGCTAATATATTTTGTTCATAGGTCCATGGAATGATATATTCCACAACTGTGCCCGCTATGCTATGAGACTTGTACGTTCTATCGTTACGTGTTGATGTCCAATGTCCAAATTGAAAAAAAATTAAATCAACCAGAAATCTATTTACAGTATAAATCCTTTTCTCAGAATAAATGATTGTTTACTTTCATCTTGTGATGTCGACATACCTCATTTCCCATGGACTATGTACAGCTTATACATGACTAACAGCCAAACTAGGTAATTATTATTTGTTGTTGTAGGGGAAAGGTGTTCATATAAGCTTATAGCTTGTTCACCGATCCCTATTCAATTTTAGTTGAATAAAAATATGTTTCAACCAAATCTATATACAAATGAATACACTGAGAAACCAATGAAATGTATCAAGTAATTTATCATTTTACGTTTGTTAGACATTGTGTTCCTGATTTACATGTTCTAGTTGATATCTGCAGCTTCAGTTGACACTTCTTTGCTCAGGGCCGGTGGGGTAAAAGCGGCGTAAAACTAAACTCACTCACTTCCGTGCTGAAACAGTTCGCCCATGCTAACCCTAGCAAAGCAAGATATTCCTCTTCGTGTGTTGTTCTGTTCTCTTTCGGTTTTAGCTTCCTAACTGACCGCCCTTTTAAACGAAAAAATACAATTTGAATTGGAATTCTGGTGTCATTTCCGGAAGGGGAGGTAAGTAATGAACTTCCGGTGTGACGGTTTCGTCTCCATCTTTAACCGCTGCGGATGGAATCCTCAGAATTCCTTCTTCCTAATGCTAAACGTCAGCGCAGTAGAATTAATGGAATCCACATTGATTCTAACTCGTGAGACTTCACACATGTTGCTAATTAAACTGACGTTCAAAAGAAAGTACACAGTCACCTGATTCTTTGGTAAAATGTTTTCTTTAAAACAGCATTAATATTTTAAAAGTGTTTTGAACCTGCCTTGTCACAAACATTGTGCAAATGTTTCCAAAACACCAGATATTGTACCCAATTACAACATTGCTAGCGAAATCTTTATGGTTTTAATGGGAATAGTCCCAAAACACCAGGTGTGTACTTTCTTATGAACGTCTATATAGTATAGAATTCTTAATAAGGCCGCTGATATAATCAGAATTTCAATAATTTTAATCGGCTGTCATTGTAAATATTGTGTATATGACTTACAAACGTTTTGATAAATTCAAGTCACTTGCTAACTCTATAATTAAAACAGCGGAAATGATATTTACATTAATTTAGCATTTATACGACAACATTCATTTTTATCATAACACGTTTACACTATTGAAATTGGTTCAGATTTGTTTGGGCTGTAAACAGACTACTTCAAGTCCTTGGGCCCAAATTGCTTAGGCAGAACACATCAGATGTATTCGGTTGACGATTAAATTCATTGTACAAAATGCCTAGATCTAGACGTAGATGTTCCCATTCAAAACGCTCTTGACAATGACGCCTGTATAGTGAAACATTTTTCATTACTCGAGCGACCAATCGTATAGCCAGGTCACGGCATACCCCTACACTCGTGACACATTGTTTACCTCCCATTGACAAGGTTTTCATACCCAACAAAACAATAATTGTCGGCTCTCCCGTGGCCGGCGTTAAAGCATTTCCCATTGGGCTGGTTGAGTGCATTGTGTTCGGAGCTGGCAACCAGTGAAACCTGTTTGGATAGTGAGTGAAAAACGCAATGAAGGTATGTTGTCTTTAACATTGTACGCATTAGGGGACATATGAATTCATTGACTTATAAAACAGTTTCTGGAATGTTTTCTACTGAAAAAGTGATTATTACTTGAATAATCTTTGGTAACAAACGCAAGTTATTATCCGAATTTTGTGTACCATATTTGTATTTAAATGCACCTTCCAAAGATGTGTATTTGTGATTAAAATGTGTATACTTGATTAATACTCTCTCCGATGGAACTAACGGGATCTCACTGACTTCGCAGATGCGTGTCATCGTATCCTAATTGCGTTGATTGATGTTCATGACATTGACTACTGCCTTGTCTGGTGCTGACTCGATTGTTTACAGACCGCCGTGATATAACGGAACAACATATAACGTCAAACAACAAACTGTCAGAATATGTTGTGAAAACCTGAGTAGGGCTCTGGCGATCGAGCTCAGTTACTGATTGTGTATCAACGTGTTGATAGTTGAGGTCTGACTTGATTACTGGAACTGGAATATTGCTGATTTCAGCGTTACACTTTCCTCATTCAAACACCCTTCGAGCAAAAACAAAGTTACCATTATACTCTATCATACCTCCCCATCATCTGGCTATACTTGTGGTAGGTAACGCTTTTACAAACTCGTTACTTCAATCACTATGTAATTCTCCACTAGGGGCGGTTGGGTAGCCTAATGGTTAAAGCGTTGGCTCGTCACGCCGAAGACCCGGGTTCGATTCCCCACATGGGTACAATGTGTGAAGCCCATTTCTGGTGTCCCCCGCCGTGATGTTGCTGGAATATTGCTAAAAGCGGCGTAAAACCAAACTCGGTCAGTCAGTCAGTCAGTAATTCTCCACTAAGTCCTAATCCGACCTACTCGCCTACCGTATAGTGGTTAGAGAGTCCGCCGGGAGAGTGGAAGGTCGCGGGTTCGATCCCCGGCGTTAAAAAAACAAACATAAAACAAAACAAAACAAAATCAAAAACCAAAAACCCCATACACGTTAAAATATGGCACTTGTTTTTCCCTGCCTGGCGCTCGGCATTAAAGGGTAAACCAAGGACTGGTCGGCTCGGAGTCAGTATAATGTGTCTGAGTGGGGTAATCGTACTTAAGTATGGCATGGAATCTCAGTGAGCTAAGACTATAAAACCAGCTTAAGTCTGGGCTAGTACAACAGCGGCACATACCCATACACACGCATGCACGTCGTGATATTAGAGAAATGTTCTCAAGTACGACGTTAAAACCCATTTCACCTCACCTCATATCACCTAATCAGACCTTTTCACTCCACCATACTGAATCACAATATTCAACGTTTTACATATTTTATGAACGCTTTCCAGAATAGATTGATTGATTGTTGTTTAACGATGCACCCAGCAACATTCCAGCTATCGTTCTACGCAATTGGGATACGATGACATATGTCAACCAAGTCAGCGGGCCAGACCACCCGATCCCGTTAGTCGCCTCTTCCGACAAGCATGGGTTACTGAAGACCAATTCTAACCCGGATCTTCACGGGTACACTTTCTAGAAAATGCGTATGCTTTGGCATTATAAAAGCCTTGATCATCCAGACACACGTACAATCACATGGTCAGTTCCAGTCATATATATATTATAGCTCATTTGCTCGCCATGTGTTCTCCAGATACTATGCAATATATTCAGTATGTTACGGCATGCTCCAACACCAGGTATATCAAAGGGCATTGAACGCCAGTTTGGACACCACTGAGGACCATTGTCCCCTTACAAAAGGAGTGCCACCTTTTAGTGTAACGCATCATATCCTCCACACATTGGAGCAATTCGCTTTTCCATAATGTAGTTCACATGGCTTGAACTTTCGTCATGGAGTTTGACTTTCAACAATGAATTCCACGTTGGGTAGATCAAGATGCTGTGACAGGTTACATATTGTAACACTATCTTAAAGGCAGGGCGTCCATTTATTACTTTCTTTACAGTTCATTTTTCTTGGAAAGTAGAACCGAGAAAGTTTTTGAAAGGTATTTAGAAGTTGGACGAAGATGAAGTGTGTTCTATTTGTGTATATTAACCGTGTGCACTGACTCGGCATTCACCTGGTGAAGGAGCACGAATTAGCTCCGAAACGTCGTATAAACAATTAAAACAAGTTGTTATCCATAAAACGTGTCATGTATTCATACAACCAAGAATGTGATAAACGTTAAAGTGAGTGAATGAATATGGTTTTACGCCGCTTTTAGCAATATTCCAGCAATATCACGGCGGGGTCACCAGAAATGGGCTTCACACTTTGTACCCATGTGGGGAATCGAGCTCGGGTCTTCGGCGTGACGAGCGAACGCGTTAACCACTAGGCCACCCCACGTCCAAGCCATGTAGTGCCGTGTTTCAACTCACTCGTTCAGCTAACACGTGAAATTATGTTTGGTGTATTGGTCAAAGTGGCGTGTGAAATCGTATTCTCTCATCACTCAAATATCAAAACATGAGCAGAGTGTGTAGAGGCAGATCGCTGCATGCCAGTTCCATGTAGATGTAATGTGACAGACATGTTTTCGAGGACATCTGTTGTGTTTGTCTATCTCTCGTATATTTTCACACAGGTTAAAACAGGAAACAGACATATAATTGTTCAGTTTTCGACTATGCACACTGGGAGATCTAGTTTACGCAAATCATTAGGACCATATAATATTATATGAAATTTCATCCTATTTAAGTGACAATTAGTACTACACTGTCGTGTCGTAACTGTTAACAGTGGTTCAGTTTAAACTTTGCCTTATCAAGTCACCAAATATTCCGGGTATTAAATATTTTATCCTGAATGCGTTAGGCTCTGAGCTTCCTGGGGTGGGATTTAAACACGAAATATACCTTCTACAGTAGGCTAGGTAACAGTATCACCTTAGTCATTGACTGCAATGTGCACTGAACTAAACTAGTGCTCAAAATAAAGTATACAGTGTGTTTGACCAAACTTGAAAAGAAAAGTGAGTGAGTGAGTTAGTTTAGTTTGACATCACACTCAGCAATATTCCAGCTATATGGCGATTTGCCTCAAACGTGGCATATTTGTTGTGTTCTTTTTACTACTGTGTTGCTCACGTGTCGCGTGGGCTGTTTTATACCGTCAGGATGCAAGTGCATTTCGTGTTATGTACATCACAAAAAGTAGTTTTGGATTTTTGGCGACGTTTTGGCGATTCATTAACTCATTTCGCCGTTTGTTCCCGGAAAGTATGGGTCTGTACGTGTGCGACATGCCTCAGTATAGTTTTATCACTTCATTTTTATTTTTGTGAATTTTTTATATTTAAAGATCACATGCAACCAAAAAATCAAACATAATTAAAACACAATTATCACTTATTTATGACATATAATATACATTGCTGATTATGAAAAAACATATAAACAATAATATAAGCGTACAATCGCAAATCAAAAGCGCAATATTTTGTACCTGGGTTTACTTCCCTCGAAACGAAGCACCCGGGATACCGAACCCAGTCAGAGCGGGTGGGTGTGCACTCAAGAGTATCGAAGCCTTTCATTGGCTGAATCATTTGCAGAAGCTCTCACGGCTCATTGTGTGTGTACATATAGATATGTTGGGTTTTGTAAATACATGCTCATTTTTGTGTATAACATTTTGCAATCAGCAGACATCATAACATGTCATGTGTACACGTATCACACCTGCCTGTCTGTGTAATTACATAATGTGACAGAGACCGAACTCGGGCCATAAATCAATGTGTTTTGTTTATCGTGTATAGCCTGATAGGTGTTAAGTTCAAATTGCATGTGGTCAATGATCGAAGTTGTGTATTTAATATTGTCATTAGCAGACAGGAAGGCAGACACATAGGTGTCAATAAAACAGACATTGAGTTTTGTCTGTGACAGCGACATATCTATATCACAGTTAGATATTCTGTCAACGCTAACTAATGACATTGATTTAAGTATCGACCTGAGAAAGTGACTCGGTAAGAAGAGCGTGTGGTGAAATAGACAAATGAAATTATGTAAACAGTTAAATCGGTAATCTACTGTCATAACACATAAAACATTAGCTCACATCAAAGCCTTCACCGAGTATTTACCGCCAGCGAAGGTTTTCCGTCTTGAAATGTCGAACGCCTCACTGGTTGACACATAGCTGAGTAGATCTAGATCCTAACAAGGTTCCTTTATGTAATGAGTAGATTATTTACCATTTGTTTTGATTAGACTTCTCCTGCTCACGACCTTATAATGCGGACATCCCGCTTCCAAGCTGCGCGAACCTATTTCACTGCGCATGCGCTATGAACGCAGCCCAGCACAGTTGTTGAAACCACTTTTCCCCCCAAGCGCTGGGGTGAATTTAGTGAATCGTTTGAACTCCGATTTGGCGGGTTTTTTTCATCGCGTTATTTTTCAACTGTATTAGTTGAATTTGCATTTTTGATGATTTGTATCTGTAAGTCCATACCGAAAAGTATCACAATCTGCAAAGTTGTGTTTTACGTTTCATGTGACCTTTAATATTTTCCGGTGTATAGTTTCTTTTGAGCACTAGTTTAGCATTAGTATACCAGTATTGATGAAATGTAACAGGATACTTGCTAATACTGTTCAATACATGAGGGCCTCTTCAAATTCTGGTTGGTAAGAGAGATGAGTTGTCGAACATGCAGATTCTGGATTGTTATTCCATTGAGTTTCAGAGTGATAAAAATACATCCCAACCCTGCATGAAAGGAGGGAGCATGGTCTTTCTATCAAGACTTCATAGATAGTGGCCTGTCCATCAAGATATTACAGCAGGAATCACCACACGTCGGATACAAAACCAACATGTGTCTCGACACTGTTAAACCGCCTCCGTGCTGTAGTGGTTAGGGCGTCCGCCGGGAAAGCGGAAGGTCGCGGATTCGATCCCCGGCCGCGTCATACCAAAAGACGTTAAAATATGATACTTGTTGCTCCCTGTCTGGCGCTCGGCATTAATGGGTACAACAAGGTCTGGTAGGCTCGGAGTCAGTATGATGTGTCTGAGTGGGGTATTCATGCTTAACTGAGGCATCAGGTGTCACCTCCAAACTGTTAACAATTTACTCTGTGACACATGTGAGCTACAGCTTGTTCAGCTTGACCTGAGCTACTCTACATATGCATGACCCAGGAAGTCAAATGGCACAAAAGGCAGGTCGAGTTAACCTCATTAAATAGGGGAGCAGAGAATGTTTAACGGCGACCTTGTCTCGGCTGTTCGGACATGTTCACAATCAACTGACAGAGGTGCACCCCTTCACAATAATAGACCCAACCAGTTGTGACACGGTCACGCAAAGCATTAGCATTCACTTGATCAGGTCAAGCTGAACAAGCTGTAAATCTACGTCATGTATGGAACTGTCACACGTCCTGCATGTGACCTGGTGTAAAGCACAAGGTCACAAAATAAATCAGTCTCAGCAGACTGGCAGTTTGTCTCTGGGCGCAGGCTGGGGTTTATTGGGTGTTGGTTCTGCCACACATTTCCACATCGTGTACATACGATGTGTTCTTGTACAGGTGGGGCGTTGATGTAGTCTAGTGGGTAAGGACTTCGCCCGTCTTGCTGAAATCCGGGCTCGATTCCCAACAAGGGTACAGAATGTGAAGCAGATTTATGGTGTCCCTCGTGGTATTGCTAAACTATTGCCAAACGCGGCATAAAACTGAATTCACTATTCGTCATCAGCAGAGGATTTGATCTGCCAGATGAAAATCAGATTACATCATCCCCAGGTCATAACCGAATACCTTCCACGTAGATCGATGTTCATGATGTAACATCTTTGGATTGTCTGGAATATTACTGACTGCGATGTTATACAATAAACAGGTCGTAATAAGCGACTATCGGGATCGAGGGTGGTCAAGCTTGATGATTGGGTTGATGCATCTATTCGTGGTTATGTAGATTGAAGCTCACGATGCCAATCGTGGCGGTGGGGTAGCCTAGTGGTTAAAACGTTGGCTCGTCGTGTCGAAGGCCCGGATTCGATTCCGCACATGGGTACAATGTGTGAATCCCATTTCTGGTGTCCCCCGTCGTGATATTGCTAAAAGCGGCGTAAAATCATACTCACTCCTGATGTCAATCTCTGAATTGTCGCTATTATATATATGCCGCCATCACCCAGGAATATCGCCGAATGTGGCGCTAATCAAAGAAAGAAACTAACAAACATGCAAACAAACAAACAAACAAACAAACAAACAAACAAACAAACAAACAAACAACCACCTCCAAAAAAACGAGTCAAACCACCGCATACTATGTGACCTGAACATACCATCGGGTTATCTGGCACACGATCAACCATATATATCTAACATAGCGAACACCTGGCCTTCATATGTGTTGGATCTTACCACACGTTTGACGCTCAAGAACAACCATGTGTGTGCAGTTTCTACCCCAAGACCAACATTATTTATCTAAAAAGGAAGAGAACCGTAATATGAAGTTTCTTTACCCACCAACATTTACCAGCATGTTTCTCGATCCTGACTGCATGTTACGTTAATTTACAACAAAATATTAAAAATTATAGTAGTTCGAGTGTTTCGTAAGACCATAATTATTATTCATGAACACATGGGTTCAAACCTTGTTCATACCTGTCTGGAAATGAATATGTTCATATACATATGAGTATAGGAACAGAAACATGCAGCTGCATATACCAGTTACTGAGTGAGTTAGGATGCATTGGTTATTACGCTTTTGTATCATCAAGAATTAATTTTTCGATAAATAAACAATAAAGTAAATCAGATTTATTGACGACGGGTGGTCAGTCGTGACGGAATGATTTAGCAGTAATCATTGTATGTGTAGTACTCATGTGTCTGTATGTATGTCTATTCTTACATCTCAATGTTGTCAATGTTTTGCAGGTCCGAACCTGTCTCCGAAGACATGCGCTGCTCCTTGCCACAGTCCTCGCTGTGGTTGTTGGATTCACAGTCGGACTGCTATGTCGTCAGCTGAAACCTACCCCTGACCTCATTATCCTCATCTCATTCCCAGGGGAGATGTTTCTACGGATGCTGAAGATGCTGATTCTGCCTCTGGTAGTTTCCAGCATCATAACTGGTAAATTACATAAATCTAAACATTGTCTTATAACATATATAGGGGAGTTATGTCTGTCGAACCAACTTGATTTATACCATCCTGTAATATCATGATAAGGTTTGAAAATTCTTCATTGTATATACTAACTGACATTGCTTCATTTCCGAGATGAACAAGTAGGAGTGAGTGAGTGAGTGAGTGAGTTTGTTTGGTTTTATGCCGCTTTTAGCAATATTCCAGCAATATGACGGCGGGGGACACCAGAAAAGTCTTCACACATTGTACCCATGTGGAAAATCGAACCCGGATCTTCGGCGTGACGAACCACGCTTTAACCACTGAGTTAATCAATGAATCAAAATCAACAAATATTTGATATTTTGAGAACTGATAAACTAGTAAAATATACTTATGGCCACATTTAGTGGCCTGCCATAAACGTCCTGTTTGTGATATGGGATCTATCATGAGTTGTATTGCATAAACACGACATCATACAGATATCATGCAGGTTGAAGTGCAGTGGGGTTAAATACTGTCGAGAATAGCAGGAGATCGTGCTGTATAACTGTATCAAAATAGTATCAAAACGAGACAGACAAACATCTAGTGACGTCTACAGTGGAACACACCTTCGAACAGTGTCAATCAAAATCTCGAAACTTTCAGGGAAGGATCATTATTTCTACCATCCGTATTGACAGTGCGTACCATACAGCTGTAATTACTGTTGGAAATCGTTTGTAATTGGTAACTCGGTTGACGATCGACCCTGCTCGAGGGGTCCCCGATCAGCTACACGAAAAGGATCTACTGATCTTAAGCCAGGTTGTGCAGACTCGAGCTCATCGGCGCATTACATTTCTGCAAACTTTCATCAGGCCAGTGGAGTAGGAGTTACGAATGAGTCAGTTAGAAATTGTATAGGTGCAGCTCCATGATTCACGTTGCTCTTTTGTGTTTGGCGACGAAAGTTCGGTTCAGTCAATGTCAACCCGACATGATGACAGGCTTTGTGTTATATTGTTTATGTTGAGTGATGACTTCACCATTACGCGGCAGACACCAGTCAAAAGTTTGCAAGTAAGGATTCCTGGACACTACAATCGGGACGACACACCGACACCATTTGTTGTCAAGATGTTAAGTTAAACTTCAAAAGATACAATATTATCGATAAGATAATTGATGTGCAGTTATTACAAATGTACATATATGCGCTCTGCTGTGACAAATACATATTACACGAAAATACATAAAACAAAGAAAGTAATAGAATGTTTTCATACATACAATACATTTTCTAAATGTAGCCATAATTGCATTGCAAAATCAAATTCATAAATTTTGTATACATTTGGCACATCTCCATGTTACAATTGATAGAAAAAGCCTTCTTACCTTTATAACTGCTTGACATACAAATCGGTTAAACAAATTCATCTCCAACAGTATTGATACTGCCTGAAAGAGTAATAATTTTGTCAAGTGAAAACTGACTAAAACAATACACACGACTTACCATACCCACACAATCATTCCAGGAATAAACACCACTTAACATACTGACACAGTCATACCAGGAATAAACATCACTTAACATACTCACACAATCATACAAGGAATGAACACCAGTTAAAATAATCACACAATCACACAAGGAATGAACACCACTTAACATACTCACACAATCATACAAGGATTAAACACCACTTAACATACTCACACAATCATACAAAGAATGAACTCCAGTTAACACACTCACACAATCATACAATGATTAAACACCACTTAACATACTCACACAATCATACAAGGAATGAACTCCAGTTAAAATACTCACACAAGCATGCAAGGAATAAACACCACGTAACACACACACACACACACACACACAATCACACCAGGAATAAACACCACTTACCATACCCACACAATCATACCAGGGATGAACACCACTTAACATACTCACACAACCATACCTAGATTAAACAACACTTAAAATACTCGCACAATCATAACAAGATTAAACACCACTTAAAATACTCACACAATCATAACAGGAATAAACATCACTTAAATAATCACACAATCATACAAGGAATGGACACCACTTAACATACTCACACAATCATATCAGGATTAAACACCACTTAACATACTCACACAATCATACAAGGAATGAACTCCACTTAACATACTCACACAAGCATGCAAGGAATAAACACCACGTAACACACACACACACAGAGAGGAATAAACACCACTTAACGTAGTCACACAATCATACCAGGAATAAACATCACTTAAAATACTCACGCAGTGATAACAGCCATAAACATCACTTAACATACTCACACAATCATACGAGGAATAAACATCACTTAGCATTCCAGGATTAAACACTATTTAACATGCACACAATCATACCACTGCCAGGAATAAACCCTACTTAACATATTCACACAAGCATACAAGGAATAAACACCATGTCTCTTCCCCACCCACACACACACACTCACGCACGCACGCACGCACGCACACACACAAATCATACCAGGAATATACATCACTTAGCATTCCAGGAAATTTGGAAATACTCTGCGGAGATTTTGACTTTATAACCGATAATGTCGAGTTTAGGAAGCGCATCAAAGCAGTTTAGTCAAATACGAGGTCTCAAAATACTTTAATAACCCTAATTTCGATTTTTATGAAATTAGTCCCTATGGTGGTCACACATGATCAAAGCACAAGATTAACAGACCATGACAAAACCTCCTTTGTTTAAACTGTTTTTTCTTCATCTTTGAAAAAATGTCGAATTGCCACCAATGCTACGACATGCCATAATGAAAAATGATACAAATACAAACAATAACAGCTACTATCATTCCAAAAAATCACACAAACAAACAAACAGACAAGACAAGGAAATAAACTAAATTAGAGACCGAAAATAGAAACTAAAAACAACAACAATCAAACAAAAAACAACAAAGAAAACAGAAACAAACAAAATAACCAAAATAAAAGAAAACAGAAGGCATTAAAAATAACGCGAATAGAGAGAATCATTATTGCTGCACATACTAGTCACCAATCGTTACTTTTGTAATATAATTCATCGGTTAAACTGAATCAGTTATAGTGAATTGTTGTTATGCGCCCTTCTCGTATGATCAGTTCATTTCAAATGCATATCGCTAAGTGCTAGCGAAACCCCCCAAATTTTTACACACAAAATTACTCCATCCATATCAATTGCCTATCCGAAAAGTTTGAAGAATTGGCCTTGTGTTTGATCAATGGGACATGATGCTCAGTTATTCCAACTATTTCTCTCGGCAGGCGTCATTACCTACTGCATTGTGTTTGGTGTTATTCTAAACCAACTTGGTCATCGTGGAGGCGTAGTTGAACAATTCTTGACCGTCATCAACCTCGTTACCTTCAAAATAATTACACTTGTCATGTGGTAGGTACAAAATAACACACAGTAAGAGAGACGCAGAGAGAGAGAGAGAGAGAGAGAGAGAGAGAGAGAGAGAGAGAGAGAGAGAGAGAGAGAGAGAGAGAGAGAGAGAGAGAGAGAGAGAGAGAGAGAGAGAGAGAGAGAGAGAGAGAGAGAGAGAGAGAGAGAGAGAGAGAGTGAGACACACACAAAATCATACCAGGAATAAACATTATTATTAACACACACACACTCATATAATCATAACATGATTTACATGTGTAAACATGTGTTTTCAGACAAGACTGCACATACATATAGTTAATTGTAATTCGGTTTGTATGGGCGAACCAGGTACATCCGTTCACCAGGTACAAGCTACAGTACGCTTTAAAACTAACTTCCCCTTTACAGTCACAATCCTGTCCCAGCCCATTCGGTATCCGGACAGAATACATGGAAGTTGACAAACTATCTCTGAAACTAACATGTGTGAACCGCAAACAGTGTTTGGTGAGCTGTTATGTGCTTTTAAAAATACTTAATTTTAATCTTAAATTACGCTTAAGTTTACGCAGCTCGTCGGCTGAAAGTCGTTGTTGTGCTGCAAATGGGGATGGCGCGAAACGGAGTTGCCAGACATTCATCGAAAACACTATATCTATCAAGAGATGGGCCACACTCTTGCCACGGTCGTGACTCGCCACGGACCGGTCGTGCACGTATGATGTCTCATCAACAAGACAACCATATTTGGTTGGTGCATCTATGGATTCAAAATCGGAAATGTCCTGAAACTATTAAAAGCTAGTCACAACCGGTAAAGGAAGCATAACATTCGGCCCCGTTGATCGGTGTTTGCTTCTGCATTACGTCACCTAGTCACGTGTGGACAACATTTGAAGTTCCGAAGTCTGACTCGGACAATATTCTGTTCACAGGTAAGACCAGGCTTTTCCTGGACAGTTGTGGTCGTGCACAGGGTCTACAGACGCCCAGAAGGTTTTTGTGACGATTGCGTTTAAGGGCGGAGGTGTCATGTTCTGTTTGTTTGTCGTTACGCCGCACTCAGCAATATTCCAGCTATATGGCTGCTGTCTGTAAATAATCGGGTCTGGACCAGGCAATCCAGTGGTCAACAGCATGAGCATCGATCTACGTAATTAGGATACCGTGACATGTGTCAACCAAGTCAGCGAGCCTGACCACACGACCGTAATCGCCTCTAACGACAAACATGAGTTGCTGAAGACCAATTCTAGCCCGGATCTTCACTGGTAGGAAGTGTAATATATGATACAGAGTGGCATCACATCCATCATTGGAAATCAGAACTCATTATTGATAATGGCAAGTAACGAGCGACATTGTTCGCGATCATATTTTAACCTCTGCAAACGCTGGGATGAAATCTCACGTTCCAGTAGGGTTATGTCGTCCTCTTTTTGTAAGTGTTGTGACATAATGCTAGAGGCTAAATAGCATGGCTCTAGTGCCTTGGCCGACTGTTACTCCAGATCTATCCCTCCAAAAACATGTCTGTGATCAGTTGCTGCGCCTGTGACAGGCCGGTAACGCTTTCAAATTGGACCAATCGCTGGAACATCCTCAAGGACGTTTCCACACTCCCGTTGTCTCAACTGCATCAGTGCAAATGGGAATCACTACAATTATTGACATTGTTAAAAGAGTTGTGAAAGTCTTGTGTCACGAAATTTATCATATTCACCAGTTCTTGATGGTCTCTTTCTTTGTACATATGATTTTAATTGTGCTCGGATTGAGTGAGTGAGTGAGGGAGTTTAGTTTTACGCCGCACACAGCAATATTGATGTCGGACTGTAAATAATCGAGTCTGGACCAGACAATCCAGTGATCAACAGCAGGAGCATCGATCTGCGTAATTGGGAACCGATGACATGTGTCAACCAGCCATGTGTCAGCGAGCCTTACGACAAGCATAGTCGCCTTTTGTGGCAAGCATGGTTTGCTGAAGACCTATTCTACCCCGGATCTTCACGGGTCGTGCTCGGATTGAGCAAAATGGATGAAGAAAATCGGTTTCATGTCTTTCGAAGATCTAATATTGTTCAGTGAGAGATACATAGCAATTACACTGATTTACCCAGATTAGAAATAAACGACACCGATGAAATAACCTCATTCATTTAACATTTCTGATGTGATAGACACGTGGAAAACATTTTAAAATTTGGTGCATCAGTGACTATATAATATATTGTTTTGTAATGTTATTTTGGTTGATTTTCGTGTGAACAATTGACTTGCCCTTCATGTGTTTGGGATCAGCCGGGAAAGATACGCCAACGTTTATGCCAACACCTAGTATGAACACTATGTGACTGTGTTTCATAAACACACATTCATGATACTGTCTGAATTTCAATATCGACTACGTTAATGAAGATATGTCTTATGCATATGCATATTTTTATCGTCTTTATTCAGAAATCTGTTGCACTACTTCTTATACAACCTATGAATGAGATATTACACAAAAGATCTGGGTCAAAGTGACAGCTATATATCTTGTTAATATCGTGTTCCGTGCGGTAAGAGACAGTTGTATGGAAGCAATGATGCGAGGTACCATTTCCTCACTTACATCACAATGACTGTGTCTTTGTCGTATGACATGGTTACCCACACGGTTTTAGTAACAGAGACAGAGTTATGTCCCTTACCCTATATCATTCACAATCCAAATAGGATACACCATACTCTCTTGAGCAGAACTTATACCTTGTTAGTGACATTATAACTACCAGTCTTGAACCAGCAAATTACATGTAACCTAAGAGTTTGTATGGGTCTCTGGGGGTCCGTGCCAGCTTCTCAACCTCCTCGAAGGAGGAGCGGGCGTCTCGGTAGGAGATGGTTTCTGCTGACTGAATGAGTCAGTGTGTCTGCACTGACTGCTAGGCTGTTTTATGATGTCAGTGTTTGTTTGCCTTCAGTCACAATAAGTGCACAGTGTCTTGTCAAGCGTGAGATTATTCATAGGCTTTATATTATTTCTCCATAGCACTGGATTCAAATTTGTGAACATATTTTCCACTGAAAAAAGTCAAACAAAGCATGCAGATGGTTGCACAATTATTGTGTTACATAAAGGCAATAAACAACCCCCCAATAAAACAACAAAAAACTATAAACTAAACAAAATAAATAAATAAAAAGGTAAAAAAATAAAAAACCCATTCGGAAAAAATAATTAAAATATATAAAAAAATAAAAAAAAATAAGTAAAAACAAACAAACATAAAAATATCTTTAAAAAAACGAAAAAAAAGCCCACATACGTTTTTCATGTACCTATCGTTGAGGTGTACATTTACCATACCCCAAAATGACATCTCTCCCCATGCATGAATGGCACGTCAGTTCTTGACCATGATAGGTGCACGTGTCATGATACTTGGCATTCCAACCGATTTTGTTATTGTGAATGGACCTTTGAATTGCCATACCCCAAAATGACATCTCACCCCATGCATGAATGGCACGTCAGTTCTTGACCATGATAGGTGCACGTGTCATGATACTTGGCATTCCAACCGATTTTGTTATTGTGAATGGACCTTTGAATTGCCAGGGTCGGAATTGTATGTCCTGTGATTGTTCCATTGGAGGGTATTTTTTGGCAGAAATCGGCCACGTCGTCACTGATGTCCGATGAGAAGGCATACGGACATTGGACTGTCCACTGACATGTTCCCAAAAGAGCATCCGTGGGATGTTCTCGGGCGGAGAGTGTACGCCAGAGACCTTGCACCACCAGCGTTGACAAGCATGGGGTAGCCCATCAGTCGGAATGACGAGTCATACCAAGGGCAACCATACACAGGTTACTCAACTGTATGCCACTAAGGTGTCGTGCATGTATCATCTACATGGTGGACACACCAGATAATCATGTACAGGCCATATTATTCTTATATTTCTTGATAAAAATAAAAATACAAGATAAAAATACACGAAAGACACCTTACCTTCTGGTATATCAAGAAACATGCACTTTGTTCTTGTAGGTCTTGCTAACGTCAACAGCGGGTCAGCCGGTAAGATTGGCTTGTATACCATTATCTACTACATCGGTACAACAGTATTGGCAACAATCATTGGCCTCATCCTCGTTCTCACCATCAGACCAGGCGAGGTTGCCAACAACAACGTAATGGCTGCCAGGTCATCAGGTGATGCTCCTTCGGCTACAGCCCGGGACGTGTTCCTGGATTTAGTCAGGTTAGCTCCACTGAACATGCTGATGATGCTGATACCTCAGTCAATATGATTTTAGCTTCACAATTCAGGAAAAATAGACGATTGGTTATCTTATTGAAGTCAAGGTAATGATGAACCGACTATAACAATCGAAATCGTGTCCTTACTTTGCTTTCGAAAGGTTTGAAAACAATGTTGCATTCCTCTGAGGTGACCATTCTAAACGATTCAGCTATGTACATTAAAAGCGGTAAATATTTGCCGCTGTAGTTATGTTAAAATGTCTTTTCTGTATTGTACAGTTCGTGGGTCTGAGGATGTAATAATCACACAAGTGACTGATTGACTGATTGATTAAGACTTATGGGAGGCTCTGCCAAAGAAGCTAAGATAACGTATCGTGCAGGCAATAGACCAGCTTTTGTTGCTTGTTCGCTCGTGCTTTAAATAATTATGGACATTTTCTCTCTACACTTAACATGTTTGCTTTTGTCGACAGAATTTTAAATCTGTTTGACCAATTGATTTTGCGTTCAGGATTTTTGAACTGTTTGACAGACTACTTTTATCTACAGGGTTTTAAATGTTTGACAGTAGCTTTTGTCTGCATGTTTTAAATATGTTTGATGGGTAGCTTCTGTCTAAAGACTTGAAATGTGTTTGACAGATTGGCTTTAATAATGTTTTTGACAGATTGGCTTTTTAATGGTTTTTGTTGTTGTAATTTCATACTTTCTTCCTTTGGTTATATGCCGAAAACAATGCTAAAAGCAATGCTTATTGTAATTCACTTGTTCCTCTTCAATATGAACATGTATATACTTTGGAGTTGTAGACACCATCATCTTTCATATGTTATGAAAATACACCCAAATGTCTATACCCATCTGGAAGCTGGTTATTGCGGACACAACGAAACCCTCCATCTAGATGACTTGAAATGACATTTGACATTATAACATTGTATGTTATAAGACTTTATACTGACCTCTTTGTAATCGTTTACAGGAACGTTTTCCCTGAAAATGTCGTTCAGGCGAGCTTTCAGACAAGTGGTACTGTGTATGTACAGAAGGCCACAGGGGTATCACTACAAGAGAACTCTTCAGCTGCAAACACTTCAAGTACCAATGATACATCATCCGATCAAAGCAGAGAAGACGTATGGTCTCCGAAATCTGTCTACAGACCAGGCATGAATACTATAGGTATGGTGGTGTTAGTAGAAACACGTTCAGTGGACAAAGGGTGGATGAAAACTTCTGGGTCTTACTATGACGGGTTGTGTCGATGGAGTTGGGTGTTAATTATTTTCAAACACAAACTCCCATGAGATCACACACTTCTGCTAAGGTTTCTGGAGTACATGGAACTCACTGTTGTGACACCCTTCTGGTGTAGTAAAATGACTTCGTCAATATGTGCATAATGCTGAAACTTCATCCAAATTCCCAAACAAAATCATCCATTTTGTGGAACCCCATAAGCTGCCCTAACAAAAGTAACTCATGATATTATTCAATCTAGCAAGATAGCTCTACTGAGATCCTGCTCTGTGACTGGTCGTCATAACTGATTGTCTATTTGTTGACCGATAAAACAGGTGCTTTTAATGCAAGGAAACTGCAACTGAAAGTCAGCAGTAAATCTACAGTGATTATGGTCCTGTTATGTTCTGTTGTGATGACAGTTTTTATACAAATATCTTTCATCTTCAGGAATAATCTGTTACTTCGTGTTCTTTGGTGTAATCCTTGGTCGCCTTGGCAACAAGGGGAAAGTGGTGCTGCGTTTCTTCACGGTTGTTAATGACATTACCATTAAGATGGTACTGTTAATTTTGTGGTGAGTGTAACTAAACAGTATATAATTAGTCAAACTGAACTTACAGTGCCATCATTGAGAGTTAACGCCATTGAGCGTTGTCCGCCTTCGTCTGTTGTAAACTCTTTTAAAAGTTTAGGAAGCTTAATTAGTTCCTTAAATAATGTCTGTAAATGTATGCATAATTAAGATCAGGTTTTAGGATCACTGACTTGCCTGACAGGCTCAATGACTGATCCCTCTTTGATAAAACTGATACATTCAGTAATCAACAATGCAGCTGATGACTTTGGATCTCGTTGGATTCGATACGTCGTTATTAATTGTACATGACTGACACTCATGCTTCCAAGCATAAATATGTTTTAAGTAAGCATTTTGATAAAAATACTTATCTCTAAATGTTATTCTTTTAAAGGTATTCTCCAGTCGGGATAATGTTCTTGATTATGGGGAATATCCTGAAAGTGGAGAACCTCGCTGACACCGCCAAACAGCTTGCTATCTACATAATAACAACTTTGACTGGTCTTGGCATCCACATCCTGATTGTCCTTCCTCTGCTGCATCTGGCCTTGACGAGGAAGAATCCTTACAGAATCATCAAAGGAATACCACAGGCCGTTTTAATGGTTTTTGCAACTGCATCAAGGTGACATGAGATGTGATATATATGTGAAATATCGAACAGTAATTCTATCATTGTTTACATCTGTTGGCATTGTCGTTAGGTTTTAATTTCAACATTTCAACATTCAATGCATTCGAATCATCCATACTAACAATGAACCTTTAGAATTAGTGGTAATCTGTCATTTGTCCATTACCTACAGTCTGGTAATCTATGTCGTAAAAATATAATGGGATCATGTCCATTACTTCCTGACACACAGGGACTATGTATTATACTTTTAGCAATATTCCAATATATTATGTTTAACATAACGGCGTGAGACACATGGAATGGGTTTCGCGCATTGTGCAAGTCTTGACTGACAGGATGTTCTTTTCAAATGTTGCGTATTATGTAGTATCGTTTTAACCCTTTATGTTGTAATGCTCTGTCTTGTCTGTTTATGAGCCAGACTCTGTGTTTATGAGCCAATATTTCCAACATAATCCTTCTTGATGATATGAACGAATATCAAAAGAAGACTTCATTTGTGTTCAGCTCTGCAACTCTACCCCTAACTATTCGATGTTGTGAAGAAAACTTGAAGATTAACACTGCCATCACTCGTTTTGTGCTGCCGATAGGGGCAACCATCAACATGGACGGTACCGCCATCTTCCAGGTCATATCGGCCGTTTACATTGCCCAGATACGTCAGATACCGCTACACATCATCGAAGTCATAGTACTAAGGTAAAGGGAATCAGTTATTACAATCAAGTTGGCTTCGCAGTCCGAAGACAGATAGTTCATCTCACCAGAATGGCATCTGATATAAACGAAGTATCACAAGGTGTACCGAGACATTTGTTCTATTATTGACCAAAGTTGGATTTTTTAACCGAAAATATTAGTAAGCAAATCTCGATAATAATTTTGAATCAATAATTCCAAAATTAATGCTTATGATTATCCTCGTGGTTGAACTAGTGGATGAGATCTTATTACTCTAGTGGTTGAGATCCTATTACCCTAGTGGTTGAGATCTTATTACCAGAGTACCGGTAGTTGAGATCGTGATATCCTAGTGGTTGAGATCTTATTACTCTAGTGGTTGAGAACTTATTACCCTAGTGGTTGAGATCGTGTTATCCTAGTGACCGAGATCTGATTACGCTAATGGTTAAGATCATGTTGCCCTAGTGGTTGAGATCTTATTACCCTCGTGGTTGAGATCCTATTACCCTAGTAGTTGAGATCTTATTATCAGAGTGATTGATATAGTGTTATCCGAGTGGTTGAGATCTTATTACCATAGTGGTTGAGATCTTATTACCAGAGTGGTTGAGATAGTGTTATCCTAGTGGTTGAGATCTTATTACCAGAGTGGGTGAGATCGTCTCATTCTAATGGTTGCGATCTTATTACCCTAGTGGTTTGGATCTTATTACCAGAGTGGTTGAGATAGTGTTATCCTAGTGGTTGAGATCTTATTACCAGAGCGGTTGAGATCTTATTACCAGAGTGGTTGAGATGTTCTTTTCAGAGTGGTTGAGATCTTGTTATCTTAGTCGTTGAGATCTTATTACCCTAGTGGTTGAGATCTTATGTCGAGAGTGGTTGAGATCTTGTTATCTTAGTCGTTGAGATCTCATTACCCTACTGGTTGAGATCGTGTTAACCTAGTGGTTGAGATGTTATTACCTTAGTGTTTGAGATCTTATTACCAGAGTGGTTGAGATCCTATTACCAGAATGGTTGAGATCCTATTACCCTAGTAGTTGAGATGTTATTACCAGAGTGGTTGAGATAGTGTTATCCTAGTGGTTGAGATCTTATTACCAGAGCGGTTGAGATCTTATTACCAGAGTGGTTGAGATGTTCTTTTCAGAGTGGTTGAGATCTTGTTATCTTAGTCGTTGAGATCTTATTACTCTAGTGGTTGAGATCTTATGTCGAGAGTGGTTGAGATAGTGTTACCCTCGTGGTTGAGATCTTATTACCCTACTGGTTGAGATCGTGTTAACCTAGTGGTTGAGATGTTATTACCTTAGTGTTTGAGATCTTATTACAAGAGTGGTTGAGATCTTTTTACCAGAGTGGCTGAGATCTTATTACCGGAGTGGTTGAGATAGTGTTATCCCAGTGGTTGAGATCTTATTACCCTAGCGGTTGAGATCTTATTACCCTAGTGGTTGAGATCGTGTCATTCTAATGGTTGCGATCTTATTACCAGAGTGGTTGAGATCTTATTACCCTAGCGGTTGAGATCTTATTACCCTAGTGGTTGAGATCGTGTCATTCTATTGGTTGCGATCTTGTTATCTTAGTCGTTGAGATCTTATTACCCTACTGGTTGAGATCGTGTTAACCTAGTGGTTGAGATGTTATTACCAGAGTGGTTGAGATGTTATTACCAGAGTGGTTGAGATCCTATTACCAGAGTGGTTGAGATCCTATTACCCTAGTAGGTGAGATCTTATTACCGGAGTGGTTGAGATAGTGTTATCCCAGTGGTTGAGATCTTATTACCCTAGCGGTTGAGATCTTATTACCCTAGTGGTTGAGATCGTGTCATTCTAATGGTTGCGATCTTGTTATCTTAGTCGTTGAGATCTTATTACCCTACTGGTTGAGATCGTGTTAACCTAGTGGTTGAGATGTTATTACCATAGTGTTTGAGATCTTATTACCAGAGTGGTTGAGATCTTTTTACCAGAGTGGTTGAGAAGGTGTTATCCAAGTGGTTGAGATACTTTTACTTTTACGCTAGTCGTTGAGATATTATTACCCTACTGGTTGAGATGTTATTACCCTTGTGGTTGAGATCGTGATATCCTAGTGGTTGAGATCGTGATATCTTAGTCGTTGAGATCTTATTACCCTAGTGATTGAGATCTTATTACCTTAGTTGTTGAGATCTTATTACTCTAGTGGTTTAGATCTTATTACCCTAGTGGTTGAGATCGTGTTATCCTAGTGACCGAGATCTTATTACGCTTATGGTTAAGATCATCTTGCCCTAGTGGTTGAGATCTTATTACCCTCGTGGTTGAGATCTTATTACCAGAGTGGTTGAGATCGTGTTATCCTAGTGGTTGCGATCTTATTACCGTAGTGGTTGAGATCTTATTACCAGAGTGGTTGCGATCTTATTACCCTAGTGGTTGAGATGGTGTTATCCTAGTGGCTGAGATGTTATTAGCCTAGTGGTTGAGATCGTGTTAACCTAGTGGTTGAGATTTTATTACCCTAGTGCATGGTTGAGATCTTATTACCAGAGTGGTTGCGATCTTATTACCCTAGTAGTTAAGATCTTATTACCAGAGTGGTTGAGATCGTGTCATTCTAGTGGTTGGGATCCTATTATCCTAGTGGTTTGGGATCTTATTACCCTAGTGGTTGAGATCTTATTACCAGAGTGGTTGAGATAGTGTTATCCTAGTGGTTGAGATCTTATTACCAGAGTGGGTGAGATCCTCTCATTCCAATGGTTGCGATCTTATTACCAGAGTGGTTGATATCTTATTACCAGAGTGGTTGAGATAGTGTTATCCTAGTGGTTGAGATCTTATTACCGGAGTGGGTGTGATCCTCTCATTCCAATGGTTGCGATCTTATTATCCAGAGTGGTTGAGTCGTTGAGATCTTATTACCAGAGTGGTTGAGATCTTATTACCAGAGTGGTTGGGATAGTGTTATCCTAGTGGTTGAGATCTTATTAACAGAGCGGTTGAGATTTTGTTATCCTAGTCGTTGAGATCTTATTACCCTAGTCGTTGAGATCTTATTACCCTAGTGGTTGAGATCTTATTACCACAGGTGTTGGGATCGTATTACCAGAGTGGTTGAGATCTTGTTATCCTAGTGGTTGAGATCGTGTTAACCTAGTGGTTGAGATGTTATTACCTTAGTGATTGAGATCTTATTACCCTAGTGGTTGAGATCCTATTACCAGAGTGGTTGAGATCCTATTACCCTAGTAGTTGAGATCTTATTACCAGAGTGGTTGAGATAGTGTTACCCTCGTGGTTGAGATCTTATTACCCTAGTGGTTGAGATCTTATTACCACAGTGGTCTAAATCTTATTACCAGAATGGTTGAGATCGTGTTATACTAGTGGTTGAGATCTTATTACTCTAGTGGTTGAGATGTTATTACCAGAGTGGTTGAGATCCTATTACCAAAGTGGTTGAGATTCTATTACCCTAGTAGTTGAGATCTTATTACCAGAGTGGTTGAGATAGTGTTACCCTCGTGGTTGAGATCTTATTACCCTAGTGGTTGAGATCGTGTTAACCTAGTGGTTGAGATGTTATTACCTTAGTGTTTGAGATCTTATTACCAGAGTGGTTGAGATCTTATTACCAGAGTGGTTGAGATGGTGTTATCCTAGTGGTTGAGATCTTATTACCAGAGTGGTTGAGATCGTGTCATTCTAATGGTTGCGATCTTATTACCAGAGTGGTTGAGATCTTATTACCCTCGTGGTTGAGATCTTATTACCCTAGTGGTTGAGATCGTGTCATTCTAATGGTTGCGATCTTGTTATCTTAGTCGTTGATGTCTTATTACCCTACTGGTTGAGATCGTGTTAACCTAGTGTTTGAGATGTTATTACCATAGTGTTTGAGATCTTATTACCAGAGTGGTTGAGATCCTATTACCAGAGTGGTTGAGATCCTATTACCCTAGTAGTTGAGATCTTATTACCAGAGTGGTTGAGATAGTGTTACCCTCGTGGTTGAGATGTTATTACCCTAATGGTTGAGATCCTGTTAACCTAGTGGTTGAGATGTTATTACCATAGTGTTTGAGATCTTATTACCAGAGCGGTTGAGATCTTTTTACCAGAGTGGTTGAGATGCTGTTATCCAAGTGGTTGAGATACCTTTGCCCTAGTCGTTGAGATATTATTACCCTAGTGTTTGAGATGTTAATACCCTTGTGGTTGAGATCGTGATATCCTAGTGGTTGAGATCGTGATATCTTAGTCGTTGAGATCTTATTACCCTAGTGGTTGAGATCTTATTACCAGAGTGGTTGAGATCTTATTACTCTAGTGGTTGAGATCTTATTACCCTAGTGGTTGAGATCGTGCCATTCTAATGGTTGCGATCTTGTTATCTTAGTCGTTGAGATCTTATTACCCTACTGGTTGAGATCGTGTTAACCTAGTGGTTGAGATGTTATTTCCATAGTGTTTGAGATCTTATTACCAGAGTGGTTGAGATCCTATTACCAGAGTGGTTGAGATCCTATTACCCTAGTAGTTTAGATCTTATTACCCTAGTAGTTGAGATCTTATTACCAGAGTGGTTGGGATAGTGTTACCCTTGTGGTTGAGATCTTATTACCCTAGTGGTTGAGATCGTGTTAACCTAGTGGTTGAGATGTTATTACCTTAGTGTTTGAGATCTTATTACCAGAGTGGTTGATATCTTTTTACCAGAGTGGTTGAGATGGTGTTATCCAAGTGGTTGAGATACTTTTACCCTAGTCGTTGAGATATTATTACCCTACTGGTTGAGATGTTATTACCCTTGTGGTTGAGATCGTGATATCCTAGTGGTTGAGATCGTGATATCTTAGTCGTTGAGATCTTATTACCCTAGTGGTTGAGATCTTATTACCTTAGTGGATGAGATCTTATTACTCTAGTGGTTTAGATCTTATTACCCTAGTGGTTGAGATCGTGTTATCCTAGTGACCAAGATCTTATTACGCTTATGGTTAAGATCATCTTGCCCTAGTAGTTGAGATCTTATTACCCTCGTGGTTGAGATCTTATTACCAGATTGGTTGAGATCGTGTTATCCTTGTGGTTGCGATCTTATTACCGTAGTGGTTGAGATCTTATTACCAGAGTGGTTGAGATCTTATTACCCTAGTGGTTGAGATGGTGTTATCCTAGTGGCTGAGATGTTATTAGCCTAGTGGTTGAGATCGTGTTAACCTAGTGGTTGAGATGTTATTACCCTAGTGCATGGTTGAGATCTTATTACCAGAGTGGTTGCGATCTTATTACCCTAGTAGTTAAGATCTTATTACCTTAGTGGTTGAGATCGTGTCATTCTAGTGGTTGGGATCCTATTATCCTAGTGGTTGGGATCTTATTACCCCAGTGGTTGAGATCTTATTACCAGAGTGGTTGAGATAGTGTTATCCTAGTGGTTGAGATCTTATTACCAGAGTGGGTGAGATCCTCTCATTCCAATGGTTGCGATCTTATTACCAGAGTGGTTGATATCTTATTACCAGAGTGGTTGAGATCTTATTACCAGAGTGGTTGAGATAGTGTTACCCTCGTGGTTGAGATCTTATTACCCTAGTGGTTGAAATCGTGTTAACCTAGTGGTTGAGATGTTATTACCTTAGTGTTTGAGATCTTATTACCAGAGTGGTTGAGATCTTATTACCAGAGTGGGTGAGATCGTCTCATTCTAATGGTTGCGATCTTATTACCAGAGTGTTTGAGATCTTATTACCAGAGTGGTTGAGATAGTGTTATCCTAGTGGTTGAGATCTTATTACCAGAGCGGTTGAGATCTTGTTATCCTAGTCGTTGAGATCTTAGTACCCTAGTGGTTGAGATCTTATTACCACAGGGATTGGGATCTTGTTATCCTAGTGGTTGAGATCGTGTTAACCTAGTGGTTGAGATGTTATTACCTTAGTGTTTGAGATCTTATTACCAGAGTGGTTGAGATCTTATTATCAGAGTGGTTGAGATCTTATTACCGGAGTGGTTGAGATCTTATTTCCAAAGTGGTTGAGATCGTGTTATCCAAGTGGTTGAGACACTATTACCCTAGTCGTTGAGATCTTATTACCCTAGTGTTTGAGATCTTATTACCCTAGTGGTTGAGATCTTATTACCCTTGTGGTTGAGATCGTGATATCCTAGTCGTTGAGATCTTATTACCCTAGTGGTTGAGATCTTATTACCCTAGTGGTTGAGATCTTATTACCCTAGTGGTTGAGATCTTATTACCAGAGTGGTTGAGATAACGTTACCCTCGTGGTTGCGATCATATTATCCTAGTCGTTGAGATCGTATTACCAGAATGGTTGAGATCGTGTTATCCTAGTTGCTGAGATCGTGTTATCCTAGTCGTTGAGATCTTATTACAACAGTGGTTGAGATCCTATTACCCTAGGAGCTGAGATCTTCTTACCCCAATGGTTGAGATAGTGTTACCCTCGTGGTTGAGAGCTTGTTATCCTAGTGGTTGAGATCTTATTACTCTAGTGGTTGAGATCGTGATATCCGAGTGGGTGAGATCTTACTACCCTAGTGGTTGAGATCTTATTACTCTCGTGGTTGAGTTCTTATTACCAGAGTGGTTGATATCGTCGTGCAAGACGTTCCACACTTTTATTTCATTTCACGCACTAATCATAGTATAAAACACCACAAGTAGGAGACTACATGTACATAACTTAGAGACTATGAAACTCATATCTGTTCATGCATAATCTAGTATAATGTTGCATTCTCTTCTCCATAGTTCGATACATAAATGTACCTTGATACTGAAACATGTGTGTTATTGAACTCATTGATAATGTGTGAAAAATACTTTCACATATCGTGATATCTAAGCAAATATTTTCGTCACTGAATACAGTTCGATAACAAACATGTATGTGTTTCAGTTTATGTACAGTGTTGGGCAGCGTGGGCGTGGCTGGAGTGCCCAACTCGGCTATAATGGTACTGATGGTGATCCTGTCATCTGTAGGTCTTCCCGTCGACGACATCTCCATCCTGCTGGCAGTCGACTGGTTCCTGTAAGCATGAATACTACATTGATATTCCTAATTATATTTCAGAGTGATTTTGCGCGAATCCATGGAATCAATTGACTTCAAAGTAATTTTGTCAACTTCATATAAAACGATGTTGTTGAACATTTTCATAGGTCACTGTCATTTGAAATGTGCACAGATATTTCACTCATGTAATGTTTATGGGGGCACAATACGTGTGTTCCTATATTGTGACAACCGTTCGCTCAAACATAAGCTGGATATAAAATGGAATAATGTCGAAATTATTATTCTGAACTTACCATGTGAGGTAAGTGAAGTTGTTATTAAAAGCAAACTTAATGATTTTTTATCTTTTCGTTTGAAAAATATAAATACAACTGCTTTATCAAGTCCAATACACTAATTATACCATTTAGTTATATCTGCCAAATAAGGAGGAAAATTATGTCTAATCTCACAGAAGTCTCTGACGGGCTATATCAATCTTCTTTGGGAATTTATTCCATGAAATGAATTACAACACGTCAAAATAAATGAACACGCCAGCTAGTTTTCCCATGTCCGCAGAAATGAGATTTCTGTATTTTGTACACATCATACACCCATTCAAGAACTTGCTTCAGCTTGACAGCATAAATCAAAAGAGCAGTGTTTGGTACGTAGGACATATTCTTTTAAAGTGCGATTTATTCCGAATTGGGTCTGCGTTGCACTGTCGAAAAGGCAAGCACAGTTATATCCAGGCTAAAACTGATAATGTGGTTTCAGCGACAAATCTGGCCAGGTTAATGACAATTTCTTGATGTATTTCCCTTGAATCTTGCAGATCTGGTTGCCAACAATCGTCTTTTATAAACCTTTCCCTATTCCAGGGAGTTATCTAAAAACAGTTCCATGACTGAACCATCGCAGCATGCCAACAGCTAGATTGATCTACGTTTCAGTACAGACATTCATAAAATGATGCGGAAAGAAAAGTGACGTGATTGCAATGATGATCTAACTTACTGAATACAGAACGAGTAACAGTATTGCATTTGGACTTTTTCATCCCGATTTGGGTTCAATAATGTACCATATATCTATATTAGAACACGGCCACACCATGGTTCCCCAAACAGTGCAAATGTATCTTTGGCTTGAAGGTTCAGGAGGCGAGCCTTTGCAGTTCCAAACGACTTCTTGTTTCATATTGTGCATTCGTTACATTATAGCGATATCATCGTACCACACGTGCCCAGTTTGCAAGCTTCTGCTAAACCAAACTCTACGTTGTTGATGAAGATGCTGCACCGTGGAGGCAGTTCTAAACTCAAGTGAGTTCTTTCATTAATACAGGAAACATAAAGCACTGACACTGTTTTCTGCTATTTACAGGGCTCGGATGCAGGGTATGGTGAATATAACGGGAGACTGTTTTGCAGCGTCTATGCTGGATCATTTCTTTCCATACACGGCCGTTGAACAGAAAGTCGTCGACGATGCCGGGATCACGGAAAATGAAGCCTTTCATTCGATTACCGACGTATAAAACGCACATATTTCTCTGATTTTACGTCACATATAAAATGTTAAAAGCATGTATGGGGGAAGACCAGGTGATCTGTTACATGGGCATGTGTTGCTGGACGTTTGGATTTCGTTCGAATGATCAGTGTATTGCACCGTTAAATCACGATTGCCAAAATCTTCAGATACCTCCATATATCACCCTGCATTGGTATGAGACACGGCACGAACCATTTCTGCATTTTAACTATTAACCATATGTTTTCAAAATAATCGTAAATGTATCCGGTCAGCATGATCCTTTTGGCGGGACTGAACAGCTAGGACGACACTGGTCATTGTGCATAGAAGGGTCACTGGGCAGTACGACCGTGATGACATACAGTGTTCCACGTCTTCTCTGTCAAGGCGATTACCGTGCACGTATCGCAAATGACTGCGATACCTGCAACAGTAAAAACATCCCCAGAATGCAATAACAAAAGATGAGCACCCCTCTGAGCACATCTGGGTCATTGTCGAGAGACGTGGACGCCAACGTCAAAGGCCACGGGCTACGCCATCCGAACAAGGTCATCCATTGCAAGAGGCGTGAACAAGACTCAATCAGACTGTACTGATTTTGTATTGATTGATTCAGCATTATTATTGAGGATTTCCAATAAACCGTTCCGCTTGATATCCAACTTCCGTGAATACAATTGGAAAACACTCCTGACACATCTCGGGGAAATTGTTTTGTATTAGACACCATCTGATGGGAGTTTCTAAAAATCGTAGGATACTGGGAGACAGATTCTGACTATGCCTCGCCAGGAATGAGTTATTCATCATACCATTTCCAACTTTAATATGCGATAGTAGATGTTCCTTGGCAGTTTGCACCTTTGCGATTCAGTTGATTGTCATGCCAAACCTATTCCATCCTCTTTCTTATCCATCTATTACCCTACTCGACCGGCATTTCTATGTATCATTGTTTTCGTGTTAAGTGAGCGAGTACGTGAGTGAGTGATTGAGTAAGGTTTACCACCGCATTTAGCAATCTTCCAGCAATATCACGGCGGGTTACACCAGAAATGGGCTTCACATATTTTTTTCATGTGGGAATCGAACCCGGGTTTTCGGCGTGAAGAGCGAACCCTTCAACCACTAGGATATCCCACGGCTCCATTATGCTCGAATATTCATTACTCATTATGCAAGTTGTTGTTTGTTTGTTTGTTGTTTAACGCCACACACAGCAATATTTCATCTATACGGCGTCGGTCTATAAATAATCGAGTCTGGACTAGACAATCCAGTTATCAACAGCATGACCATCGATCTACGCAATTGGGAGACGATGACATGTCTCAAGCAAGTCAGCGAGTGTGACCACCCGATCCCGTTAGTCGCCTTTTACGACGACAAGTATGGTTGCTGAAGATTCTAAACCGGGTTCTTCATGGGTAGAAATGACGTTGTGTGCTGACATGAACCTCTGTATAATCAATTTGAGCTTTTACGGTTGCTGTGCAGCATGTATCGTGTAGTTAACATGAATGACATTTTAGGGAGGTGATTTGATCTTATAATTACTTTGATCTCATGAAGTCATGGATTCTAGGCTACCTCCCTTCAGGGGGACATTCGAGCGGAGGAAAACATTTCAAATGATACAAAAATCTAGAAGCCCTGGAAATAGATGTATTATATAATAGAAGATGTTGACACTGAAACATACATGGTCTTGATCGGTCTGTTTGTACATTCACCCGGTACCCGACAGGAGAGACATGTCAGCACTCGCTACACTCGCTCAGATATGACCCTCATACTAGCTGCATGTGCCATCTTGCTCACATTACATCTATTTTCTTCAGCATCATTTGTGATGACAATCAGTTCGGAAATGTTGGGAATTTGTGACAACAGACCAGCCCCAGTAGAACTTTGTTCACATGTCAAGTCACCCATCACTGTTAATACAGTGACGTACCAGTGTCAGAGTAAATAGTGCCCCTCACTTTGTACCCAAACTACAGTCCGTTTGAGTCAGAAACGGACCGATGAATTGCAAATTTTATCATTGTACAAAATTGCCACATAAATATAAATAGTACACATGTTTATCATTTACTAATACCCAACAGCATTCTTATATTTGAAAATTTTCCGGACTCCACCAAAAAAGTTCTTTAAGAAACTATCATCAAAATTTTGACACAGTTCACTATTTGTTACGAGGGAGGAGTGCAAAGAAAGGGACAGCCAGGTGTGCGAGAAGCACGTGCACAAGTGCCCACCAAGTTATTGATTCATTAGCCTGTGCTGTGCCGTCTCCATCCTTTCTCGCACACCTGGCTGTCCCTTTCTCTGCACTCCTCCATCGTAACAAATAGTGAACTGTGTAAAATAAAGAAATGATAAAATGTTGTAAAATAAATGATATATATCATCTATATTCATGTGGCAATTTTGTACAATGATAAAATTTGCAATTCATCGGTCCGTTTCTGACTCAAACGGACTGTACAGATACTGCTCTCCAACAACGTGGAGACTCACTCAGGGCCTATTATCACAGAAAAGGACTTGAACTCCATAGGGACTTCGGAAAGGCCATGGATACAGATTCCTCCTCAAAACAGTTTGTTTCCTAGAAGGGCTGGGGATACGACCCTTAAGATGACAAATAGGGACACGGCACGGCCCTGAGCTTATCAACCGGGAGTAAACGATTATTTCTCTATCTTAAAATGGAATATTGAAGGTAATTTTTTTAAACTTGATGATGCAGAATGTATTAGATAAATCAAGTATTGTGACATAGTTCACGTGACTGAAACCTTCCTGACAAATCTGATATCCATATCTTACTATGAAATGTATCTTTCAAAAGCAAAAATACTACAGGTGTATGCGTGCTTGTAAAGAAATGAATAGCTGAATGTTGCCAACAGGATCAGATGATTTTCATAATGTAGTGATAATTATAATCGCTAGTACCTTTAGGTGGCGATATCTTCTATATAGCAATGAACGTTCCCCCGATGGCGCAGAGTTTCATGCAGACAATTTAACAGCAATCGAGCTAGTAAATGTGAGGAAAATTCAGTTTCTGAACTTATTTACCAGTTAACCATCATGGAAAATACGGGGTTCACCTCCTCCTCGATGTATAAGAGATTTGGTTGTTGCTGTTTGTGGATGATGTGACTTTGGTCTTTGATGCAGTGTCAGGTTTGCTGAAATAATTTAAACAAAACATTTAAACAAAAATAAACATTTTTAACATGCTGATAAATGGGGTTTGACTGTTTATCTTGTCGTTTTTAGACTGGTTGGTCGTTTTGATGGTACTTGTAACGATATCAGGTTGTTGTGAAGATTGATGTAAGCAAGCTCTCAATTTTGCAAGCATAGTATTTTTTCGTCACATGTTTTTCTCATGAGTCTATACATGTAGCATATGTACAAGTGATTGACAAAACATATTACCTGAAAAGAAAGGAAGTTTAGCAATTTTGTTGTTCCCAGATGATGCAGACACAATCGTGTTTGTGACATAATGAATAAATTTATCCATAACATATTTAAATACCATTAGTTATACTTAACAATGCAAGGCTGTTACAGTAGTAGGCTAGGACAAAATTAAATTCCTTCAAATGGACAGGAAAAAGACAAGAAAAAAACTATCTCTCTCAGGATTCCTTGAACCTCCACACCCATTGAACTAACGACGTTGCTTTCTGTACCTGGATTCAGACAGCTCCCTGTACACAGGAGCTCCCATTGAACTAACGACGTTGCTTTCTGTACCTGGATTCAGACAGCTCTCTGTACACAGGAGCTCCCATTGAACTAACGACGTTGCTTTCTGTACCTGGATTCAGACAGCTCCCTGTACACAGGAGCTCCCATTGAACTAACGACGTTGCTTTCTGTACCTGGATTCAGACAGCTTCCTGTACACACGAAACTCTCATTGAACTAACGACGTTGCTTTCTCTACCTGGATTCAGACAGCTCCCTGGACACAGGAACTCGTGCAACCACTAATCAATCTCTTCTCTTATCCATCCATTTGTATCACACAATCTACTTCCATCTGATTAAAATACAAAGCCGAATCAGGTCCAAATACAATGGTACACCAGTCGATGGCAACATGTAAGTCAAATTATGATCAATGTCAGGTCTTGGAACCATGCTACACGAAACGATGGCAATATGTAATCCAAACCATTGTCAATGTGAGATCCTAGAACCATGTTACACCAGTCAATGTTAGTCAAGGATTGTAAATTCGAGATCATAGAACCATGTTACACCAGCAGATGTAAGTCAAGGATTGTCTATGTGAGATCATAGAACCAGGTTACACCAGCCAATGTTAGTCAATGATTGTCAATGTGAGATCCTAGAACCATGTTACACCAGTCAATGTTAGTCAATGATTGTCAATGTGAGATCATAGAACCATGTTACACCAGCCAATGTAAGCCAGGGATTGTCAATGTGAGATCATAGAATCTTGTTACACCAGCCAATGTTAGTCCAGGATTGTCAATGTGATATCATAGAACCATGTTTCACCAGCCAATATTAGTCAAGGATTGTCAATGTGAGATCATAGAACCATGTTTCATCAGCCAATATTAGTCAAGGATTGTCAATGTGAGATCATAGAACCATGTTACGCCAGCCAATGTTAGTCAAGGATTGTCAGTGTTAGATCATAGAATCATGTTACACCAGCCGATGTAAGTCAAGGATTGTCAATGTGAGATCATAGAACCTTGTTACACCAGCCGATTTAAGTGAAGGATTGTCTATGTTAGATCATAGAACCATGTTACACCAGCCGATGTAAGTCAAATCATTATCAATGTCAAATCACAGAAGCAACCGATTTAAGTCAAGGATTGTCTATGTTAGATCATAGAACCATGTTACACCAGCCGATGTAAGTCAAATCATTATCAATGTCAAATCACAGGCAGTCGATTTAAGTCAAGGATTGTCTATGTTAGATCATAGAACCATGTTACACCAGCCGATGTAAGTCAAATCATTATCAATGTCAAATCACAGGCAGCCGATGTAAGTCAAGGATTGTCAATGTGAGATCATAGAACCATGTTACACCAGACGATTTAAGTCAAATCATTATCAATGTCAAATCACAGGCAGCCGATGTAAGTCAAGGATTGTCAATGTGAGATCATAGAACCATGTTACACCAGACGATTTAAGTCAAGGATTGTCAGTGTTAGATCATAGAACCATGTTACACCAGCCGATGTAAGTCAAATCATTATCAATGTCAAATCACAAGTAGCCGATGTCAAATCAATGTGAGTGTGTGAATGAGTTTTTATTTAACGTCACATCGGCAATATTTCAGCCATATCGTGACGAGAACATATGTGACATTGAAAGGGAATAGATGTGTATTATAAAAAACTGTCGACGAAGGACATAAAACAACTAGAATATCACAATTAAAACTAAAACTAGTGTGGAAAATTAAAACTAATAGTACTATTTGGACAATACAATATACAAACTGGCTATAGATCGCCAACTACTGAAGGTAGATCACCAAATTAGGGACCATGGGGACTTACAGTCCTTTTGCTACCTGCATGGACCCTAGTTGGATTTATATCACCCCTTCAGCCGCTGGCGATTGAAGTCAAATTTAGCCAAAATTAAAATGACAAGAATACTACATTTAAAACAGCTGGTAATATTTAAATTTCCTTTGAATGTTTCGGGACTTACGTACCCTCTCAGGAGGACAATAATTTTACGCTACTTCAACCCCCTTGGGGGTACAGCCACTAACAATCTCAGTTACTAATCTAACCTACCAATAATAAACTATGTATCTATTTGCAAATCGGTTAACAAGTCTAATTCTTTTAAAAATGCAATATTAAATGAGAACTTATATTACTAAAAAGATCCTTCATAGTTTGTGATTTGAAATAGATATCTCTTGTGGTGGAATATTCAACCAAGTCAATGTGAGATCACTGTACCAGGTAATTCAGAGCATTGTCAATGTCAGGTCAGATTGCAATGTTACACTATTCAAAGGCAACATGGAGGGAATAGAATGGGTTTCTATCGTTAGAGGGCATTAGTTATGCGAACATATTAAATATTGGAATCGGCTCACTTAAGGGCTCACTTAAGAGAAACAACTTCATGAACCCAAGTTGGCTCAGAAGGGGTTACTCCACAGTGGACAATATCGTCACTCTAAATGCTCTTCTCCAGACAAGTTATTTTAGTAAGCAGAAACGAAATTGTATATAGTTTTTGTAGACTTTGGAATGTTTGATGTTAGTATTTTAAGTTTTCATTAACCAGTTAACAGGTTACGCATGATGGAAAATACGGGGTTCAGCACTTCTCCGATATATTAGATATAATGTTGCTGATGTTTGTACATGATGTGATATTGGTCTTTGATGCAGCGCCCAGTGTGCTGAAACAATTAAACATTTTAAACATATGCTGGGTGTTGGCTGTTAATCTTGAAAAGACCAGTATTGTCGTTTTAGACGGAGTGGTCGTTTTGATTATACTTGTTTTTTATACTTGTTGATTATATCAGGTTTTTGTGAACCTCGATGAAAGCAAGCTATCAGTTTTGTAAGAATACAAACCGAAACATGAGTCTCATTAACCTATTCAGACAATGACCTCTTTTTCAGCCGATCCGAATTTTCTCGTGTGAAAGTGAAAATAGACATTACAAACAACTATGGTTACACTGAATTCCAATTTCTTGTTTCATAAAAAATGGTATTTACAAATGAATTTTTATTTTAAACTTTAATAACATCGTATTTCTATATTTTATGGCGAGGTGTGTGCAGCATGACCTTAACTAGACGTCACAGACTGCCCCTTTTTGATGAGGTCGTAAAATGATTCACAATGCATCTGACTCACTGGTTACACCTGTTATGTGTTTTTGTGCTTATTCAGTGCAGTTCTGTAAAGCACAATGTGATTGATATAATATCAAGTCTGTACAAGACCGCCAAACTTTTCTAGCGGCAGAGCCTCGTTTTGAGATTTCCACGATTTCCCGGTTTCTGTGTGTCAGTGCACGCTGTACGACAGAGCACGCCGCCCGACATGTTTGCAAGGATTATAAGGAGCGTAGTGTTGCAATACACAAGTGCTTAGATGTATCAAATGATACTGATTAATATTTATGTATTCAGTTAAATGAATTGGTCTCAAAATTCTGGACTGGTTATTGTACTAAGTTGCGCAATAGGACGGAACCCAGTCAACAGGAAACGAGACTGTTGTGTAATCAATGTTTTGACTTGTAGTGTTTTTATTCACATGTTGTGTTCTCATGAGGTTAAACATGTAACATTTGTACAAGCAAAAACCAAAATAATTATCTGGGTTGAAAAGAATCTTGTTATTTCCAGATGCATGCAATCAAATTCATGTTTGTGACATACTGAATAAATTATTCATAACCTAAATATATATCATCAGTAAACATGGCAATGCAAAGTTGTGTCAGAACGTGGATAGGAAAACAATTATACTTCAAATCAATATTCCTTTAAATGGACATAAGGAAAGTCCCGACACCCCCAGGAGTCAAGCTGACGAACCCCGTCATCCATCCAACTAGTCTGACCTGCTTCCTGTTCACAGGACCTCGTGCTACCACTATCCATCTCTTCACTGTCCATCCATTTCTATCATTCGATCTGTCGCAATCTGACGAAATAGCAAGCCCTGTCAATGACAGGTCTAGGCTCTATGCTTATGTCGATGGCAATATAACATGTCAAAACATTGTCAACGTCAGGTCATTGTACCATGGTACAACAGTCGATGGCAAAATCTAAGTCAAAGCATTGTCATAATCAGGTCATTGTACCATGGTACACAACTCGATGGCAACATGTAAGGCAAAGCAATATCAATGTCAGGTCTTAAAACCATGGTACACAACATTTAATAATCCAAAGCATAGTCATAGCCAAGTCATGGAACCATGGTGAGTGAGTGAGTGAGTGAGTTTAGATTTACGCCGCTTTCAGCAATATTCCAGCAATATCACGGCGGGGGACACCAGAAACGAGCTTCGCACATTGTACCCATGTGGGGAATCGAACCCGTGTCTTCAGCGTGACGAGTGAACGCTTTAACCACTAGGCTACCCCACCGCCCCTGGAACCATGTTACACCAGTCGATGGCAAAACCTAAGTCAAATCATTATCAATGTCAGATCATAGAACAATATTGCACCAGCCAATGCGAGTCAAGGATTGCCAATGTGAGATCAGTGTATCATATAACTCAGTGCATTGACAATGTCAGGCCAGATTGACATGCTACACCAGCAAAATACAACATGAATATACAGAGTAAGGTCCAATAATAATATATTATTCACTTCTAAATTCATAAGATGGGTACTTTGTGCAATATGCAAGATCGTAATATACTAATAGACAATAACCGATAACCTCAGATATGCATACACCTTAGGTTTGTACAGCGTGTGTCTAACACGATTATAAATGCTCAACACATATCTATTTTAGCATTACATGACATATGGTAAAGCAGAGGCATTAGACAGACTTATTGATATACAGAACAAACAATTATCATATGCAGATGAACGTAACACTTTTTTCAATTATTTGAAAAAGGTAACACGGTCGATAAATTTTCCATTACAGAACCACGTGGTTCTGTCTATCGTTTAGCTTGATTGGTACTGCCAGTCAGTCGTGTAGGCGGAGCATATTCTTGCAGCAAATGTAACCTTTCAAAATCCGACGCATTTGGATTGCACAAGCCAGTGATACAAGATCTAATTAAAGGTGAGTAACAGTGAACAGCAAATAGAACTTTTACTTTTAAACTGAACATTAGAGTAAAGGTGACTTTCGATGGGCTATACAATGTCACAATATATCTTCTTGAAATTTTCATGCTTAGTGTGAAATGAAAGTTCAAATCATTATTGATGTATTTCTATAGCTCTATGTTGAAAGTTGATAATAAAGTAGCAGTGAAAAGCAAGCATAATTGTTGCAATGTACATAAGGTATCGTAATGCTTGTCCTTGAAATGTATTTTATACTCCATACATGAAAATGTTTCAACATCTTCTGACCAACACATACTTGTTTTGTATTATGCACTGTGTGTATACCATCCCCAGCATAAATGAGATTTCGCGTGCCTATTGATATTATCTAGATAACTGCATAATATCATACATGCAATGGCACATTTTCTACCAAAGCTTCCTGACAGACACCAGGTGGACACCAGAAATGTGGGGAATCGACCGCCCCCTTTCTGACAGAATATAAGTTATTTACAATATCACTTATAATTATGTCTCTCAGTAAGTATTACAGTGTGTCTTTAACAATTACAGTCAACACAAGAGTTAAAAAAATTCTAATGAAATTGGTTACTGTAACTTAAAACAATAAAAATGACATTGTTTTTTCCCATCAAACTAATACATAAGAATGTAATATATAGTCTGTTAAATATATCATATTTCATTGTAATCTCACTGATAGATAGGAGATTTACATTCAACAATCCAATGATTTCGGGAAGTATGCAGACACTCGCATATCACCAGAGAGGGGTAGACTAGTTATGGAGGCCATTAGAGAATGATGGCTTTCCTGCACCCATTCCCTGATATCATGTTGCTGTGGAGTCCTTATGAATATGATGTTATTTTACTGGTACTGGTGTATCAACTTCGGATAGAATAGAACAAACCGTATCATGCACCATTTCTCTACCGGTTCCAGACAGGATGTGACATAAGTTATGTTACAGTTGCAGACCTTTTTCATGTACTTACTTATATACCATTCAAAATACCGAATAATTTGTTTCACGGTCAGTCAAATGCATCTTTAAACCATAAATATCTGTTCATGAGCATAAATACAGACAATGTCATATCTAATGGCAGATGAAGGTCCTTCAGTTTCTTCGACACAAGGCCCTCCTCATTTCTACAATTATCGCCGTTGTACTGGGAATTGTAGCTGGTATTATGTGCCGGTCTCTTAAGCCAACCCCTGACGCCATTCAGTTGGTGCAGTTTCCTGGAGAGCTTTTCCTTCGTATGCTGAAGATGCTGATGCTGCCTCTAATAGTCGCCAGTATTATTACAGGTAGGTTTACCACCTACCCATATTCGTTGGTTGACGTTGTAGTATCCACCAGGAACACTTGTCAACAATGTCTACTTATTCCTATTATATTGCAAATAATGACATGCCAATTTTCACATTTGTAATAAGGTACATCTAGTTAACATTTTAGTTGCTATTTTGTAGTAGGAGTAGATACCAACACAACTAAGTGAACCACCAATATTGTTTGCCTTAATGTTCTGTATCTGTAATGTTTAAGTCGGATTTAACCCGCCCTTGCAACGTGCTACATTGATAAATATCTGGATAAATGGACAACCCATGTTGAGTACGCCATTCATTGTATTCTTAAAAAAGCAAAAGTTGAAAAATGTAAGGTATGCCAATATTATGAAGGATTTTGATAGACTATTATTTCATTTTCATTTTTGTGAGCAGAACCAAACCATATGTTTCTTGAAGGTCTGGGGAATATAAAGGGTTCATCTGCCGGAAGGATCGGTGTACTTTCTATGGTTTACTATGCAAGTACCTCTGTTGCTGCAACACTCGTTGGTTTGGCATTAGTCCTGAGCATCAAACCTGGATCATACTCAGACTCATCAACAAGCCACATTCAACACAATGGTGCCATGGCGTCAGCAATCGATATCATTTTGGATTTAGTAAGGTAGGGTTGTTTTGTTGTTTAATGCAGCACTCAACTATATTCCTGGTATATAGCGTCGGTCTGTAAATAATTTAGTCTGGACCAGACAATCCATTGACTGACATCACGAGCATCTGTTTACGCACGTCGCGTATGATGATATGCATCAGCCATGTCAGACTATGCAATACCATCAGCTGTCTCAGCCAAGTGTGATTTCCTGAAGACCAATTTTAATGCGTCTCCCCAAGATGCGTTAATGTAGGGCATCTGCAAAGGTAGATTCATTTTCGCATCATGTAATAGATTTAAAAAGGGCAAATATGTGCAAACATCTGTGCTATTACATATTAGCATTATATCAGAATACATACGCATAATTTCTGTGTCAGTATATGAAATGTTTTAACAATTTGTCATTTAATTATATTGGAGACAAGTGATTCAAATTGTGCTTGTATATCGTCCTTCATTTAGACAATAGTTTTGTAGGAACAGCATACTAAGTAAATTACAAGTATTCCGTGTTGCTAATAATACCAGGGACTATGACTGTGTTTAATATTGCTATATGTAGCAGTTTGTATTTGCAACACATATCCAGAAACATACTTATGAGCAGAAAATCATCTTTTATCAAAATGATGACTAGAATACGTCCAATTCATGTTTTTTGAGGGAATTTCATCAGTTCTCCGCTGGATACAGCAGAAAGAAAATTCCCCTCCATACATGATAGGTCACTTTTTCATTTTGTTCGGCAGAAACATAGTTCCTGACAATTTAGTTGCTGCTACAGTCCAACACTCTAGAACTGAGACGGTAGTTCATGAAGTAGAGTTCCGGGACGATGTCAACTCCAGTTCTGGTGGTGATTATAGGAAATCCACCAACATAAGCCGACATTTTACAGCAAAGAAAACGGTGATGGTTGATGGTGCAAATGTCATAGGTATTCTTACAACTTGTTGCTTACGTTTCTAGATAGTTGGGTTGGACCTTCTGAAATGTGTTTGTGCAGATGGATCATTCAGTACGTTGGGACCGAATTCCTCCTCTACATAAACTAACATGCACTTTTGGACCAGGAAAACCAAACTCATACTTATTGTAATCAGAAGATCAATTTCAAATGTGGTTTCTGAAACGCACCAGGTATGTATGAGTTCCCAATCTCGTTGACATGGAAATACATGATGGTTTTCATTACCAAGGCAGTTACGGTTATATAATGTACTGTTAATCGGTATGCAATCTTCCTTCATCAGTTGCTGGTCGATCATTTTAAAAGGTTCAAGTAATGTTCCTTGGTCAATGGTAATAGATAACATTCAAAGTTACAAGAGTTATTTAATTAGATGATCTTTCTACATTTGAATGCCATTCATAAATAAACTTGTCATGACAGCAATTTGTGTGGTCACACATGGTCAAAGCACAAGATTAGCAAACCATGCCAGAACCTCCTTTGTTTAAACTGTACGTAGTTTTCATGTTTGAAGAAAACGTCGAATTACAACTAGTGCTACAACATGCGATAATGACTAATATATACACAAGGAATAACAGCTACAACATGCGATAATGACTAATATATACACAAGGAATAACAGCTACAACATGCGATAATGACTAATATATACACAAGGAATAACAGCTACAACATGCGATAATGACTAATATATACACAAGGAATAACAGCTACAACATGCGATAATGACTAATATATACACAAGGAATAACAGCACCCATTCTCGCTCCCCCAAAAAACAACACCCCCCAATAAAAAACAAAACAATCCAAAACAACAACACCCCCCCCCAAATAAAAAAGCAACAAAAAAGCAAAAAAACCCAAAACAATAAACTAATTTGGATATCGTAAATAGAAACTAACACCCACCCACCGACCCCAAATAAAACAAACAAAAAGAAAAGAAAAGAAAAGAAAACAAACAACAAAACAAAACAAAGAAAACAGAAACAAGCAAAATAACCACAAAACCCCGAAAGACAGCAGGTCAGATTCCAAGTCATGTCAGGAACATTTCAGAAGGCATCAGAAAGAACGTAAATACATAGAATCATTGTTGCTAGACATACTTTTCACCAAACGTTACTATGTAATATATCCCACGGTTACATCGGTTAAACTGAATCAGTGTCAGTGATTTGTTGTTTTGCATCCTTCTCGTATGATCAGTTCATTAAAATAAATATAGCAGCGAAAGTCCCCCAAAACACAGAAATTACTCCATCCATACCAATTGCTTATCCGGAACGTTTGAACAATTGAACTTGTGTTCGATAAATGATGTTCAGTTATTCCAACTATTTCTCTTGGCAGGTGTGATTACGTACTGCATTGTTTTCGGTGTGACACTAAACCAACTTGATGTCGTGGAGGAATGGTGGCACAATTCTTCACCGTCATCAACATAGTTACCTTCAAAATGATCACACTTGTCATGTGGTGGGTAAACGAGAGAGAGACTGAGAGAGTTTATTCTTGCGTGCTTCGTTAACCGACAAACATAAGGCAATGGGCAATGTGTAACTTGTTTCACTCAAATAACTGATTCTGTTTATTACTAGAATAAATCTTCACTGTCTGTTTGTATCATACTTGCATTTTCCAGGTATTCACCAGTTGGCATCATGTTTCATTACTGGCCAAATAATATCCACAACTGACCTGACGGAGACTGGACAAACACTGGCTATCTATATTGCAACTGAAATGGCTGGATTGGCAATCCATTTATTGGTGGTCCTTCCTGGCTTGTATTGTGTTCTGACCAGAAAGAACCCATATGCAATATATCTCAAAGCAATACAAGCTCTATTAACAGCCTTGGCAACAAGCTCCAGGTATACATGTTCACAGTTCAAATTATCTCACTGACTGCGTTCGTTATATACATCATATTTGCTTCTAGGTTACAGGATGGAACACAATTCACTGATGCTAACTATAATGAAGAATGTCATATCATTATAATTATCAAATGATATATAATGAAGACAGAAGCAGAATATTCTGGCTATTGGGGTAGGCTAAAATGTATCACTACATTGGCGCTCGGATTCGATTACATACAATACGGTTACCTTTCAAAAGATGAGACTAATTTGCCCAACAGGCTGTGTCACTTTGTGTTTGGAGTAACTGTTTTGAAACCTTTATTAGACTTGACAATCCTACCTGTTTAATTATGGCTGCATTACGCCCGTACGACCACATTAATCTTTTATTTGCATATGAAACTGCATTGATAATATTCACGTCAAATGTGGAGAACTAATTAATGCATACGTGCAGCTGTTCTTATGAAACAGGACTGTTACATTAGGCGGCAACAGATGTTTAGAATATTGTTAGAATGTGGGCAATATGCAGAAACAGTGTCCTTGCTCATCCTTAGTCATTATAACAATCGAAACCTAACATTACCTGAATATACTGACACTGCGACGGATTGATTGATTTCGATCTGAATGATCAAAATGAATTCTTATTATTTTCATTTGTCCTATCTATCACATTAATTTGAATAGTTATCGTACCCTTTTCAAAAATGAAATTTACAAAATTCAATACGAAATCAGACCTAAAATTCATTTTGAAAAGGGTACGATAACTATTCAAATTAATGTGATAGATAGGACAAATGAAAATAATAAGAATTCATTTGATCATTCAGATCGGAGCTTGAATCAGTTGAAATGAACCGTCGCAGTGTCAGCATTTCAGGTAATGTTAGGTTTCGATTGTCACATGCACATAACGTGTATTGAAAATGTCATTCTATGACTTCATGTTCTACGCTTTGTGAAAGCTCTTTTTACATGCATTAACCCGTACAGATCCGGGCTAGAATTGATCTTCGGCAACCCAGGCTATGGCGTAAGGGGCGATCTGGTGGTCAGGCTCACTATCAGGAGTTTTGCTGTGAGCGGCGTTTAACAAACAAACAAACAAACAACTTAAATGCATAAAATAGGAAACGTACAACGGCTGCTCTGTCGAGGATATTTACTGACCATGGCATGTACACCTCGCTGTTCTGTCACTCCATCTCCTGGCAGCCATTTTGTATTTGAAGACTTCGCGTTCTGTCCTTAGTTAGCGAAATATTGTAACCTCGTTTTACTCACCTCAATCAATCAGTTGATACAATGTTGTGATTGGGAATCAGGGATTATGAGCTCAGCCTACTTTACATGACAGTTGGATCTGTTTCCAGTGCTGCCACGCTGCCGGTGACGATGCAGTGTGTGGAGCAGCGGATGAAGATGGACACACGGATTTCCCGTTTCATACTCCCAGTGGGTGCCACAGTCAACATGGACGGCACAGCTGTCTATGCTGCCATTGCTCCGATGTTCATTGCTCAGTACAATGGGATCAGCCTGACATTCGGAGATGTAATAATTATAAGGTATGTTTGTAATCTTGGTGGGTTTCTGGGGTACAGTTGGTAAGGCAAACACCCGTATAGATAATTCGGCGCTCGGTTCAATTGGAGCATGTAGTCAGTTGAAGATGCTATAGTAGGAGATTTAATCTTTTGAGGGAACCTAGCTCCCGTTCTCCTCCCCAAATCCAAAAAATATTCAAATCTTACAGGTGCAGAACGTTCTTCACAAACATAAACCTAGAGAACTAGTTCCTAGATAATACAAGGTTGTGGTTTATATCTACATGTATACTCCTCACAAAAAATTAAGCAACAAGTATTAACAGTGTAAGATCTTTATCAATCTCGATAGCGATTTTTGCCGATATGTTACTGAAAGGTAAACATTCAAAGAATACATAACCTTTAGTGACTGTCAAATTGATTTATCTGATAACATTGACAACATCACCCGAACACAACCACACTCAGAAACAACATGAAATTTCAAAATGTGTGGCATGAATGTGCTCCACTCTTCACACATGCACCCTGATCGGTGTAAACCTACCTGTAATCATTCCCCTGGTACAACAAGCGGGTCCTAACTTCATGTTTATGGATGATAATGCCTGTCCATTGATGATAATGCCCCGAGAAAATGTTTACGATGTTGTTTGTTATCTTAATCCTATTGAACATGATTGGGACATTATTGGAAATCGTGTTTACGGTCTCCATGTTCATCCCCAGAATCTGGATGACCTTGAACAGGCGTTACAGAGCGAATGGCAGAACATTCCACAAAACAACTTTAAAGGCGTATTTGGTCAATGCAAAGACGTGTAGAAGCTTGCATTTGTGCTCATGGTGGTCATACGCGTTACTGAACACCGCTTCAATTGTCCAAAACTGACTTGAAATTAATGTTATCATTTTGCTCCATCAATGCAGCACATATTTTGCACGACTGTTTCACGGGTACATGCTTTTAATGATGTGTAAGTCTATTATTGCTCAATGACATTTCATTTCATTTTGTTAATCGTGTGTACATATGATTCACCTTTCTATTGCATCATTCCATGATTTGCAATTTCAATAAATGAAAAATGTGCTGCTTAACTTTTTGTGAGGAGTATGTATTACTTTACAGATATAGAAAATATAATGTATAAATATCAATATATTTTATACGTTGAATCTGCGCACCAAATACGATTTTTGCTTTCTGATTCCACACAGCTGAGCTCTGTAAATACCAATCCTGCGTACGAAAATGTGCTTGACAGCCAGTCTCCTTATTTAGTACTTTCTCAAAACAGACAGACAGCTTATTTCAGTGAATTAGGCCACCGGCCCATAATACCAGCAGAGTACAAGGTCAAACGTATTGGTGCGCACATAAAATGCGAGTATGGGTTGAAGTCACAAGCTCGTAACAGTAAAAAAAATGTTGATGTAAAATGACCATATTGTACATAACAGAATGTTTCACGGTAAACGTTTGGGTTGTCTTTAACAAACAGTGTAGATTCTTTTGTACATGTCTATTTGTGCTAACAATGATACAAACATATTCTGCATTTTATACCTTTTGTTAATAAATTGATTAACATATTTCGTTTTTAATTCGTTAAACAAGTTACATTCAAACAATACATGGATTTAATTTTCAACAAAATTCATACTGTGTTACTTACAGTCACTTAATAGTTGCTGTTCATATGGTGTTCTTGTGTATCGACATTTAATTTTCAAGTATTGGATTAAAATACACAGGCATTTACACACAGATAGCTTTCTACATGTAGTAGTGATTTATAAATGCTGGTTATGGAGTATATATAGTATGACCGGAAATTATTGAGGATTTTAGGAATATGTTTAATTGGATTTCAAGTGCTTGGTTTCATTCAAGAGAGACAACTCCGTTAATCCTTTTTCATTGGTTTGTGAAGAGTTATCGCCCTTTGTTTACTTGGTCGCAGACGACATTTTCAGTGATCCTCAGTATGGATGATTTAGAGAAGTGGAAGTTGATTTTAGAGTATTATAACAAGGACATCAGATCAGCTAAAGTGATTTCAAGTAGAACAGGGATCCCTTTGTCCACTGTTTGTCGCAAATGCAAATGGGTATGGCATTGAGCACCAGGGAGGCGCAGGTAGGCCCAGAAAATTGACTGTCGGTGACAGGTGGCGGCTTGGTATTCTTGTTTCTAAAAACAAACGGAGTTTAGAAAACTTAAGGCTGGATATAATTGATAGAGGAACTGTGGCTGTCTGTAAGGAGACAATTAGAACTGAGCTGCATGCAATGGGTTGGCAGAAAAGTCGAGGAATTCCATCACCGATCTTGAAACCTGAACAAAAGGAGCGAAGGTTGAACTGGTGCTTTCAGCATAGAAATTTTAACTGGGACAATGTGATTTTCAGATGAAAGTTCTGTGTGGTTGTTTCCTAATACACTGAAATTCTGGACCAAACAAACTGAAAAACCTTTGTATCAGCGCCCAAAGTTCAGTCCGAAATTTAACGTGTGGGGTGGCATATCTGTGTTAGGGGCAACGCCCTCTGTGTATTCGAAGGATTATGAACAGCGAGCGGTACACAGATATTCTCGAGGGACATTTACTTCCATCTGCTCACGTGTTCTATGGACATTTTGGATTTTCCAGCAGGACAACGACCCAAAACATCGTTCAAAGCATTCACAGGCCTGGTTTCTGGACCCAACATATGACATTATTAGATTGGCCAAGCTATAGCCCTGACCTAAATCCAATAGAAAATATTTGGGACCTATGAAGGAAAAGTGTCAATAAGAAAAATCTGACAACTATTGCTGAAAGAAAGAAGAGGTGGTCCGATATTGGGACAGTATGGACCACGACTTTCTAACTTCTTTTGATCAGTAGTATGCCCCGCCGCATTGCTGCCCATGATGACTTGACAAAATACTAACTGTTCACCTGTCTTTGAATCTGGAGTTATGTTCTGCTAATATTCACATTTAATACGTGAGTAATGAGTGAAAAAATTAAAATTTTTTACAATCTTTAAATTCTCAATAGTTTCTGGTTGTACTGTATATTTGTGTTCTTGATGTCCGCAGTGGAAAGCAGTAAACCATTCAGTTATCAAAATGGTTAACAGATAAAGGGTGTAAAAATTTGAATTTGAATTCAGGTTATGTGTTTCTACCTATCACTCACATCTTACATAAATAATAACCAGGAATTCCAAGGCAGTAGGGTAAAGCAAGGCAGAGCATACTAGTATTTTGTACTGAAACTATAAGCCTCCAAATCAGCTAAAGTATCTTATTTCCCATTGCTTTTAATTTTGATATATATGAGTGAGTGAGTGAGTTTGATTTTACGCCGCTTTTAGCAATATTCCAGCAATATCACTACGGGAGACACCAGAGTGAGTGAGTGAGTGAGTTTGGTTTTACGCCGCTTTTAGCAATATTCCAGCAATATCACGGCGGGGGACACCAGAAATGAGCTTAACACATTGTACCCATGTGGGGAATCGAACCCGGGTCTTCGGCGTGACGAGCGAACGCCTTAACCACTAGGCTACCCCACCGCCCCTGGGGAGACACCAGAAATGGGCTTCACACATTTTGCCCATGGGAGGAATCGAACCCGGGTCTTCGGCGTGACGAGCGAACGCTTTAACCACTAGGCTACCCCACCGCCCCTTGATAGATATGACATATCCAAGGGATGTAATATGTTGTTCAATGCGTTTATGCATTTACTGGCTTTGGTGTAACAGTCTAGTTTCACGATAAAAGGACTCTTGAAAAAGATTTATGGATGTCAACTTCTATATTGTGAATAACACGACGTTTCACGTCATACTCAGACGTCGATACGTCGTTGTTCACAATAAAGAAGTTGACATCCATTAACCTTACTTTTCCGTCCTTTCTAATATTAAAGGAAGGGAGGCCAGTTATGCAATACAAACAGGAGGCCGCAGTGGTTGATGAGGTGGTGATAAGCATAGCTGATGAACATAAGATGAGAAGTGTGTGTATTTAGATAAGTGAGTCCCACAAGCACGTGTAAGTAGATTCCGAAGGAGCAAGCATCCACTCCGAAGCGTCGTGTTATTCACAAGTTGACATCCATAAATCTTGTTTTTCTGATGCATTCCACTTCTAAATGCCCTTTAAAGATTTGAAAAGGACTTTGATGTCACATTTAATTTTTTCCAGTTTAACAGCTGTTCTCAGCAGTGTAGGATCTGCTGGTGTCCCTGGCTCTGGTTTTGCTATGCTGTTGCTTGTCCAGAAAGCTATTGGTCTCCCGGAACGCGGAATATCTTTCTTGGTCACCGTTGATTGGTTGATGTAAGTTACCCTTATTATCATATGCTAATGCTTGATCTGGCACATAGAGTGACCTGTATTGGAGAACACTAGATATTTAGATTCATCTCAGTTGTTGCATTATCGAAGTAGCTGTTCGAGTTCATGATATTTTGTTGTCATTATGTTGACCTCGAGCAAAAAAAACTATTCAACAACTACCTCTCCCATTTTGCCTAAAACAAGCTAAAGTCTCAAGATAATCATAACTGATACAGTTTGTAGGTGTTTGAAGATCGAAGTTAAGAGTGATATTCTCTGATTAAAATATTACCGCGCTTTGTGTGTTTGTGGGCTGGTAAATATGCTGTATTGTAAATGCATTGTATGTAGAGAGCCTTGGAACTTGTGTTCTGAGTCGACGTGTCTCGGATGGGTGTCATTGTTTCATATGGTTTCATAGAGATTGATGAACACATGTCCTGTCATCGTATCGCATGGTGACCTCACCGGATCGCCCAGACTCCCCAGTTTACAAACAACATTGTACAGCTGTAATACTGCTGAACCAAATACATACTCATGATATAGGCAGAATTGTACAATCGATTCTAATTTTAGCAGGTATTTCTTATGGATGTGGAAATGGTTTTGGCACTTCTAATTGTTGTTAGTGTCATAAACATTTGATCGTTCCAGGGATCGTTTCCGCAACAATGGTAAATGTGGCCAGTGATTGCCTGGTTGTTGGGTTGTTCCCCATTACACTAAACTGTCCCCAGTGACACATCAGAGACTCAAGGCGAGCTCTCTGCGGGAGGAGCAGGAGATGCTGGAGAATGACCTGGTGTGATGCACAACCATCTCCTTACACGCCGCAAACTCCTCTCAAGACGATTTTGTTTTTAAGTCAACAAAACGTGAAATTCAGTAGGCATGATTTGTAATGTACATATCATATAAATGCTGTCACAAAAAAATTCCGTTGAGTGTGCACATTTAAGGTCCCTTTAGGGTCAATGGCAGGTTAGAAGTTGGCTTTCCTTTTCAGTCATGGTTTTTTGTACAGGTACTACATGTTACGATAATTAGGCCTACCCTTTCATGAACACATTGTTTAATCACTATTTGATTTTCGTAAAATTGATGAAAACCTTTTTGCTCATACTGATAAATGGTGGTTTGATAAGACTAGTTTCGCAACGCTTTTTTATTTTTTGGCGTCAGGAGTTAGTAGACCCTACAACAGTAGTAGACCCTACAACCTACTCGTATAGCTGTTCCATGTTGTCCGGAAGGGCGGTTTGGGAAGCCTAATGGTTAAAGCGTTGGCTCGTCACGCCGAAGACCCGGGTTCGAATCCCCACATGGGCACAATGTGTGAAGCCCATTTCTGGTGTCCCCCGCCGTGATGTTGCTGGAATATTGCTAAAAGCGGCGTAAAACCAAACTCAGTCAGTCAGCCATGTTATCCGGGGAGTGTAAGCTTGGGCTCTACACTCGCCTGGTCCGTCGAGTGTTGCTGAATCAAGCAGTGAGGGGGAGACGAGACGACCAGTCTACATCAAATTCATGCACCGGCGCACATTCATACAATGATTACCTAAACATCGGGTTCCGTACTCATAAAGTTAACTCCAGTCCCTCCCTTCATTACAAGGTGACTCGGACTGGACACGACAGGACAGGCTCTTTACTAAATGTGGAACTGCAACGATCGCGATGTCAACGTTCTGCTGATTTCGAAAACCGCACCCTTTGCTAGTGTTGACGGAGTCTTTTAAGGTGTTCGAACCTCCTCCGCCCTTGTCACATGTCCCGATACAAGATTTCTGATTCGTTCAAAGTTACATCATTCCATGGTCTCATGTCTTATATCGTGATAAAGAAAAAATACTGTAAATTACTCGTCGCTGACTCAGCTTTAAATAACAGTTTAAAAGCCTTTTGCATTCTGCTACTCCCAGCTATTATGTTCTATATCTCTGAATTTATTGCCAGGCATCACGAAATAACCGCAATTCTCAATAATGGGTTTGGAAGTTTAGAAGATCCATTTTACCTTATAACAATACCGTGTAAAAGCTATTGAAAATACGTCTAGTATTTTGCTTCAGTATAATGTTGAATAAATTATTTTGAGCATGGAGTGAGAGACTTTTTAGCAACGATTTCTATTAATCATTACATACAAGTCTTTTGCTTGTGTGAAAAAACCCACAACAATATATATCACATTTGTGTTTCTGTTCTAATTGAGTCTAAATGGCAGGGTATTTTTCAAAGAATGTATTCTTTCCTATCAGTGTTTAATATTTTGTCAAATACCGCTGTTGATCACTGGATTGTCTGGTCCAGCCTCGATTATTTACAGACCGCCGCCATATATTCGAATCTTGCTGAGTACGGCGTAAAACCATACTCACTCACTCACTTAAATACTACGCTAATAATTACACATATATTGATAAATAGTCGCATCTGTGTTTCCATTTCATTTCAAATACGTTAAAAACTATACGTCATTGTTCTGGTGGTGCTCTATTTTAGAATAATGCATGCATCTTACAAGAGAAAAATGGTTTGTACATTTGGGCTGAATAAAGTTTTTATCAGCAACTGAGAGCATCAGACACACTAATTAAGATTACTGGTGTTTTGAATTTAAGGTCAGACAAGATGAAGTCAGTTTCAAGTTGCTCAGATCAGTTCACTCATGAAGCGTCATCAGTTGTGTTCTAATACTGAACACAATGTATGGACAACCTCTTTATTTCGTGAGTGCGAAGTTTCGATACAGATTCGGTTGTCAAGAAAAGTTGATGCATATATACTGAATGTAACAAAGAAAACAACATAATTAACATAACTGGATATGCAGAAAGCTGATGAAGCCAGTGAGTTGACAAAGGAAAGGCGTGGAAGCCAGATATAGGTTTTTGCATATAAGTGGATCTGTATTTGGACATAACTCCATTAATGTCTTTCTCTGACGTTGAATTATAATTTAGAAATATAGAAAACATCATGCATTTTCTGTGTCGTTAAATCTTGGCTTAAGACATAGTATAGGCCCGTGAAGATCCGGGTAAGAATTGGTCGTTAGCAACTCATGCTTGTAAAAGGTTATTAACGGGATAGGCGGTCAGGCTCGCTGACTTGGTTGACACATGTCATCGATGCTCATGCTGTTGATCACTGGGTTGTCTTGTCCAGACTCGATTATTTAGAGACCGCTGCCATATAGCTGGAATATTGCTTAAACAACCAACCTGCCAACCACCCTGGTTGACGTTAACGATACATGCCCGTAATTAACAGCATGAGTATCAACCTACGCAATGGGGATGCGATGACATGTGTCAACCAAGTCAGCGAGCCTGACCACCCGCCTTTTAAGACAAGTATGAGGTGAAATGGTGCTTAACGTCGCATTCAAGATTCTTGCAGTTACAGGAAAGTGCATGTACGCGTGTATAGGGTTGCTTGTTCTAGTCTAGACTAATGCTGGTATGTAGGGATGCTCACTGACAGACCATGCCACAGGCAAAACGACTCAGACCCCGACCCACAAAGCGTTCGTAACATACGAATGTCGCAGTGCTACGAACGTTCCGTGGACCGGGCCAAGAAACGGTCATGACACTGATACCGATTCTTCCAGTTCTTTATTCTAATGGGACGGTGGGGTAGTCTAGTGGTTAAAGCGTTAGCTCGTCACGCCGAAGACCCGGGTTCGAATCCCCACATGGGTACAATGAGTGAAGCCCATTTCTGGTGTCCCCCGCCGTGATATTGCTGGAATATTGCTAAAAGCGGCGTAAAACCAAACTCAGTCAGTCAGTCTTTATTCTAATAATTCCGAGCATGAATCAGGGTAACAAAAAGTTCCATCTTGTGACATCTTTTGGCATGACACGGACGAGAAATGCACTATCCCACACCAAGGTAGCGCTTCCTTATACAAAGGCCACTGTGTGCGACAGTGTTCGAGATATGAATAACAGTAATGGTCAGCCAGAGAGTAGACAAAGTACAGGCGTAGAAGCCAATGATGTACAAATGATAATGACATGTTTATACAGCAGTGAGTTTATACAGTGGATTGGGCTTGGTGGATGAGTCTACTCTCTGGCTTCATCAGCCTTCTGCCTAGCCAGTTATGTTAATTATGTTGTTAATTATGTTGTTTTCTTTGTCACATTGTCACATCCAGTATATATACACTTCCCCCCTCTTCATGTCCCATTATGCTTGACAACGGTACAAGAATCTGTATCGAAACGTCGCACTCACGAATAAAAGAAGTTGTTATCCATAAAGTTTGTTCTATATTGTACTTCCCAACTTCTTAAATGCCACTCAAAGAAGTTGAATTCTGTCGTTGGTACCCAAACATTGCAAGTGTTCCTGGAATGCGAGCAGTAACACATTACGTTAAAAGGCCAGTATAGTTGGAACTGAAACACTGATTTTTAATATCCTATTAGTTATAACAAACTAGTGATAGTTCTTCAATGAAAGTATAACAACGGTTATACTGGTTTTACTGCATATTTGCATCCGTACCATTTTGTTTCGTTGGCTTTATCATGCAAGGTACCCATTATATGGTAACCATTTCAGAAGGATACCAACGCAGTAACTCTTTGTTAACATCAGCAAATGTGATTTCAATCATCACCTTGACATTGTAGGTTGTTTTAAGCACAATGAGAAATATTTGTTGAGTAATTTGTTGAGTAATATTTCGGTCAACACAAGGATGGCCGCTCATTATGATCTAGGGCTACTCATAGACTACATGTAGAATCCAACAGCTGTGGCACCGTAGAATTTGCCATGTATGAATATATTCTAATAAGTATAGCTCACATCAACCAGTCAACGGCGATCAAGAAAGAGATGCCCTGATCCGGGAGACCAATAGATTTTAGGACAAGCAACAAGACCGCAAACCAGCACCAGGTACAGCAGCAGATCCTATACTGCTTAGGATAGCTGTAAAACTGGAAAATATTTCAATACGACACACAAACCATCAGTCATGAAAACATTTGTTTTCACCATTTAAATTATAGCAAATCGGTCTGTCCATATATGTAAAAAAAGGATTTTTCACAATATTTTGAAATTTAAAAGGTAAAGAATACACGACAAGTAGGTGAAGAGGCTCGTTGCACAAATCAATGAGTTGCTTAATTCCAATTGCTTTGATATTTTGTGGTGTAACTATGTAAATTTTGTGGGATAGTAGGATTATATGACATAAATAAACGTGAATACAAGGTCATGTATATATTAGCAGATACATGATGAAAGATGATGTCTCTGCCAGCCCATTGGTCATCAGACCTCCTTACATCCTGTTTCCATTAAACGTTTTGGTGAAGGTTTACTGATTTCCATCATAGATTCCATGTAGCAGATACAACGCACATATGCTCTTTCGGGCGGTGGGTAGCCTAGTGGTTAAAGCGTTGCCTGTCACGCCGAAGACCCGGGTTCGAATCCCTACATGGGTACAATGTGAAGCCCATTTCTGGTGTCCCCCGCCGTGATGTTGCTGGAATATTGCTAAAAGCGGCGTAAAACCAAACTCAGTCAGTCAGACATATGCTCTTCAAAACTCAATACTTGTAGCCGAGAATTCCACCAGTTTACCAACGTACCTTATGATTATTACATCTCAAAATGTCAGGCTGATTCCATTGTACTGAGCTATGAACACGGGAGCAATGACAGCAAACACAGCAGCGCCGTCCATGTTGACTGTTGCCCCCACTGGGAGGATGAAACGGGAAATTCGTGTGTCCATCTTCATCCGCTGTTCCACACACTGC